TATGGTTATTTCAAGCATACATCACACTTATTATTCTTAATTCTTTACCAGAATTTAAAGATTGTAATGTGTAAGTATAAACAAAGAACATTGCTTTATAATATGTGCTCTTACCTGTTAAGTTTAACTAAGCAAACTGACCACTAGCAGTGGAAAAATGCTCCATGTAATAAAATTGTTGTTAATGTTTTTTGTAATGTTCCAAATATTGCAAATGGCAAATATCCAACTATAATGATGATAAGATGAAGTTAATGTTGAACTTCAAGATGATGATAATAATGAAGTGTTGATGATGTTGATGTGGAATTTTATCATGATGATGTAATTGAACTTGATGATGATAATGATGATACATGATGTTATGTTGAACTTGATGTTGATGATGATGGAGTATGTTGTTTTTGATGATGATATTGATGTTGACAATGAAGTCATTTAACTTGATGATGATGATGATGATGATATGTTGATGATGATGATGATAGTGAACTTGATGATGATGATGATGATAATGATGATGATAGTGAACTTGATGATGATGATGATGATAATGATGATGATGATAATACATAATATAATGTTGAATGGTGGTGATGAAAATGATGAGGATGAATCATATTCTCTATGCTTATTCAAGGTCATCACAAACCTTACAAAAACCTTGATTTACTAACATACAATAATAAACATAAAACAACTTGTATAATTATATTAATTTTGGTATAATTATATCATAAATACATTATATGCATAATATATTATATTGCTCTGTCTGAAATATTTATGCATTTCCATTTACAAACCAGGCGAAAGTTGTTTTATTTATTGTAAGTGTGTGGTCTCCACTTGCTTTGTTACTGTTGCCAGTGTGCTTCTGAAGGTTTCTAGAAAATTTGTTAAATCTGATACCTTGTGGTTTGGATAATCACATTTTCGGCAGAATTCCCCATTTAATAAGGCCATAAATCAAGAATAATGGATATATTTTAGACATCAAGGTGTCACTGGTGTTTATTGTAGGATTTTGGTCAGCGGATAAAGCAATGTATGGCTAATGAATTATTTATCGGAGATAAGATATTTTTATGAGAAATTTGGGCTTTTATATAAATGACCTGGTTTTATTGAGGATAGGATAGTTAAGGGTGAATCATTCTAAATCTTTCTGTAAAGGTGCTACATTGACTTATGACTCAGTTACTTATTGTAAAAGTTTGGTCTGCCTTACTATTGAATGATTTAAAAGTATTAAAGGCATTAAAAGTTTAATTGCTTTTGGAAAATCATTTTTGTACAGCAGTAAAAGATGGAGCCAGTTATAGTATATAATTATTATTAAAAGATTAATACACGCATTTAAAAAACAACAACAACAAATAATTTGAAGTTCTTTCGTACACTTCTACTGTTCTGTACAGAGATGTTTACTGTTTGTGTGTTCAAAGCAGTAGAATCTAGAAGCAAGTTTTATTTTCATTTTTTTCGGAATGAATTTGTCGTATTATTTCTTCAAATTTCAATAGTAACAAAAATGTGTTTGTACTAAATACAATGTACGCTTAATAAAGCCATTCGTGCTGACAACCTACTTTCACTTTTACAGTTAACTGTTTGATGACGTAAAATATGACGTCATTGTTTCAGTTTGTGCACGTGCACATGTTATGCAGGCTGATAACTAGTTCTCGGCCCCGGGCCGAAAACTCATAATAGGTCACGTGACACTCATAATTAGTTGAAATCATAGGCAATTTTGTTACTATATATAGTAACAAGTGTATTAATGATATATAATTGCCGGAGTATTACAGAGCTTTATTTATAGTGCCCCAGCAGACGGTGAAATTGCTAGAAACTGCAAAATTTATTTCCAGTTACCTTTGCCAATCATGATTTATTTAAAGATACTTTAAAATCACACAGTCTAACAGTCTTACCACCCTAAATATATTAAATGGAATTGCCCAATGTTTTCCAAGCGAGACAAAACTATTCATCATTTTAGGGAAAATTCAAAGTACAAATGAACTTAACTTTCAGACCCAGTGCACGGTTACTGTGCATATCATTGTGATTGTTATCTAAGGACGTGTTATAAAATTATCATCAAATCTCCATTCAAAGAAGCACTTGACATGCTCTTTGATATCGAAGACAACATGCCTTAATTCAGATTTATTCACACGATCACATTTTTTTGTCAAAGCTTGTTGAGATAGTTTACTTAAACCAATAGTTAAGGTATGCTTTTATGTATGTAAATTGTGTTTATTATATTAATTAATTAATTAACAAACAAAACAAAACTAAGTTGTTATTTAATTTAACGGGTGAAATATCATTAAATTGTAATTTTGTCTAATTTGGATCTAAATGAATTACTTGTCTGTAACAGACAACGAAATTCTACTGAAGTTGTTTTGAGAATGTAAAGGTTTGTTCATACAATTTTATAATCTAGTAGTATTTTTAATTTACTCTATGGAGTCATAAAGTTAGGAGAAATTTTTACATTTGGAGCAATATTTTCCATTAATTTCTTGTGGATGTTTTCAATGTATTTTTGGTAAGGAATGTGAGGGACTCAAAGAAGGGTTGAATATTGTTAAATGTGGCTTAATCCATTATAAGGTTCCCTTTGACTGCAGTATGTTTTATTTTTCCCTTTTTCCACAGAAAAGTAAATTACAGAAATAATTCAAAAGTATAATGTAATAAAATCAGGACATCTTTGATCCTACTTTCTCTTTTCCTTTGTTAAATATCCATTCAGAACCAGAGTAATATCATCATGCATGTAATAGATTGGTACATACGTTATAATAAAGTTACTTTTAGGCTTTTCCAGTCCGTATTTTTAATGTCAAGGACACATTTTAAGACAGGGTGATAGGAATTCAATTTTTATCAGTTTGTAAGTTACAATGTATGATATATATTAGGAAGGAGAAAAATTATTGAAGTTATGAAAATGCACCTGTGTCTCAAGGAGTCAATATGATACTTGCCTTGTTTTTCCTGTAACTGAAGCTTTATAGCATTAATGTCAAATGTCAGTCTATATAGGGAAGCAATATTGGTATCTGGAAATGTCAAATGTTACACAATTCCTGAAGGCGTTACCTGATCAAGATGCGATTTCAAGGAGAAAATTTTCATTAAATGTATGGTGTGCAATGTAAACTAAAAATTAATCCCACTCATAATTTCCTGATTTAAACAAAATTGTAGAAAAAGACTTTTAGTCTTAAACCTTTAACCAGTGGTTTACACAATTTGGTAAATGGACTTGTCCAGCTTCCATTCCTAAAATTGTCCATTATCAATATGAAAATTTGGTCAGGACTGTCCGACAACAGTATAGGGTTTGTCAAACTGCATAGATGTGCACTGTACAGGCTGGCCTGGCCTACTGGTGGCAAAGGCTAATTTATCACTTTTGGTTCCATGGCAGTAGGTTAAGAATTGAAGGAAAGATGTTTAAATTTAAATTCCTTGAAAGCAATTGTTGAATGCTTGAAATCATTCTTTAACTCTCACTTCACATAGCATCAGAATATTTTTGCTAGAAAATCTTAATTCTGTAACCCTTTTCACAACTTTTAGATTGGTCCAAATTAAATGATGGGTTAAAGTTATATGGTATATAAGAAATAAATTGCAAATTGCAAAGAAATACATTTAATACCAAGATTTAAACAAATTTGAACATTTCATATTCATTGTTTATTGGTTTTCTGTTTGTTTTAATTTATAGGATGGTTTTACTTATTAGCATATTTTTGCCAAAAAATATGAAAATTCAAAATCGGTGCCTCTAAATATTTGAAATGTTAAGTAACTAAACTGTGAGTAAATTTTAATTTTTTCCAATTCTAACCTTTAAGAGTTAATTATACTTTTCTTGATGAAATGTGATTATGTAGACTTTTATTCATCTGCATTTTAGCATATTGATTTGCTATATAAATATTATACTTGCAAATATTGAAAAAGTCCTTGAATTTGAGAATGTTTTGTACTTTAAGATGACAGATTCAACCTTGGTGTGCAAAACTGTTTCAGCTGTTACTTTCATAATAATAGTCTCTCCCTGAACCTGATGACTACCCAGTATCTTAAGTGGACTTGTCCATTTTTGGAACTGTCCATTATCAGTTTTAAAAATATTTAAAAATGAAAAAAAGAAAAATGTTGACATCCAACTGTATATAGAGTTTGGCCAGACTGCCTGCATGCAGGGCTTATATATACTGGTGGCATCAAAGACTTATAAATTTCAGGTCTATCAGGGTAATTAGGGATAAAGAGTTTGGAAAGGGTAACAGTTTCTAGATTGGTATTACATATAGATGACAATTGTTGTACAAGTAATAATATTGATTTGCCGAGGATGAAAGTTATATTGTGGAAATTGGTTTGACATTTAACAAACTCGTGATTTGAAACAAATTATGCTGCGAGTAAAATCCTGCTGCCTTTAATGTTTGATGGTTATGATGGTAAAGTTTTTACGGACAAAGTATAATAAACATTGTCTTCTGGAATAATGATTTCTCCCGGCAGAAAATTTTTTAACCTCGAAGTATGGTTTTAACGAGACATTAAATACATAATTAAGCAAGTTTCTGAGATATATGGCGATGTGGTCTGCAATAATTACATGCCAATGCGATTAAAAAAATGTTGTTGAGTATTTTTGTATTTTTGAAATGTGATTTATGCCTAATTATTTAGCAAGTCGGTTAATAACATTTTCTTGGTAAAATATTTATGTCAGGGTTAGATTATAAACTGTGAATATATCTAATATGCTTATTTTACTTTTATGATTTATTTAGCTGAAAGTAAACTAAACATTGCGAATTCTTTGAAGGTTACACAGGCAGGTGTAATCTGCATTAAATCCACAGAAAACTCATGGAGTACACAATTGAAGAATATCTAACGAAATATTTTTGTAAAATTTATCAACAGTAAAATTATTACTTCCACAGTCTAATTATAATGGTTGATTTTCGAAGAGATATAACACAGTAAGTCTCTGTTATTTATCATGCATCAGAATTTTGTATGTAATCAGTATAAAATGTTCCAGAACAAAATATTATACTGTTGTTATAAGTAGAGTTTTAACCATTTATCAATGATTTTGTGCATTGAGGACTATGTATGTGAAATACACTCAGAAATTTTCAAATTTAGGCATTCTCATTAGCAAAAAAGTTTGACAAAGACTAAATAAATTGTTATCAAGAGATCAGGTTTTGTATTGCTGAAATGAGGAAGTAAAGATAAATAGTTGATCACATGGTGGAAGGGAGATAAATCTGCTCTGACTCTTTTTATGCTTATGTGGTCAATAGTGTTCGTATACAGTATTAAAATAAAAAACTTAAGTTTCCTGTCTATGTAAAAAACTTTGCTGTTTTGTATCAAAGCTTCTGAAAGCTTGTTGTTAAGTTTGCTTTTGTCTATTTATAAATATATTAAGTGATAGAGAGGCTATTCTCCATCAATCAACACAAATAAGATGAAATGAAATCATATTTATCTTCACTTAGAATTGCTTTAAGTCAAATAAAAAAAAAACCATCTCTGACACTATGTAAGTGCTTTGGATGTAACCACAGAGAAGTAATAATTAAACCCCTTTCAGTACATTAGTTAGAATTTGTCTTTTTACTTAAAGGAATTCAAAGTTCCAAATTTAAATCCCATACATAGATCAACTGGGGCAGTTTAAAGGGAAAAAATGCAAAAGATAAGAAAGAAATATACCCAGAATTAAACTTAAAATTGATTTTAAATGTTATTCTTAGTAATGAGTAATTAAAAGCATTTGTTTTTCATTTTTGGTCAAAATAAGTTGCACAGTAAAATAATTATTCTGGAAAAAACAGAGTGATCTGAATTTTTACACTCAAGTTATTGGTCTAGATCTGCACCAAACGTTATGAAAATTTAGAAAGAAAATATATCCAGTCATGTCATGTGAGAAAACCTTAATGGAGTCCTTTTATTTGCCACAAGTAGTATTGCTACAGTTTTCCTGTAAGAAAGATTTTATCTTAAAGTGTACCAACTGCAGAATAGCCCTCTGTAGAAAAATACCCTCTGTATAACAATTGAATCAAATCTTTCCAAAGTAAGATTGCTGTAACACTGAATTTGATCTCTACAGTAACACCTCTCAACAACAACCAAAGACTTTGTCATCCAAAGGGAGTTGTTCTGTAGAAGTTGCTGTATTTTGTAATATAATTAATCATCATATAAATAACTTATTTTAAAGTAAGGGAAATGGTGCATAATTGAAATTCCTTGTTTATTTTCAGGCATGCTCTAGGTGATTGCAGACGGCCATTACAGGAGTCGGCCATATTGGTGGAGGAAATCACGCAGCAGCAAATGACAACTCTGGTGATTACATGTTCTATTTTTGTATTACCCTTTTATTAAAGCAACTTGTTTATTTTAACCCTTAACCTGCTGAATTACTTAAATGGACTTGCCCAGAGCTTCCATTTTTGGAACAGTTCATTATCAATTTTTGAGATATTGCTCTATACTTATGGCAAAGGCTAAATCATTTTCAGTTCCAGCAGGGTAATGGTTAAAAAATTCTAAAAAATAAAAAATTGTGAATGACTAAGAAAAAAGTAGACTTGTTATTAATTCTTTCACAAAAAAAGATAAGGTGAAACTTTTTTTTGTTGAAGAGAAACTAATGTGTAATGTTTTTGGTATTTGAAAAATTTGAAAGGTTTTCAACCAACTGAAGGTGTACATTTGTCAAAGGGAAGTAACTGCTTTTATATCTATGAATAAGTATTACAACATTGTATTATCAACTGATAAATATTGTATAACTGTTGTAATTCAAAGAACAATTAACTCTTAACTGACTGAATTTCTCAAATGGACTTGCCCAGTTTCCATTTTTGGAAAGATCCATTATCAATTTAGAAGATAAAAAAATTTAAAGTGCATGAACTTGCAGGCTTTTGACTATACTGGTGGAAAAGACTTACCACTTTTGATTCCATCAGGTTTAAATATTATGACAAACTATTGTTGTTTTGTAGTTGTATAAAGCATCAGATGTGGCCACTATGAGAGGTGCTAAACTGATTGGAGTTGAAGATATCCTGTTCTTGATGAGGAGAGATAAAGTATATATAAGCCGCATCACAACAAAACACTTACATAGTGTGTTTGCGACCAGCATGGATCCAGACCAGCCTGCGCAGTCTGATCAGGATCCATGCTGTTTGCTTACAAACCCTATAACAGGAAGAAAAACTGATAGCGAACAGCATGAATCCTGATCACACTGCGCGGATGTGCAGGCTGGTCTGGATCCATGCTGGTCGCAAACGCACTATGTTGGTTTTGTCGAGACGCGGCTCATATTATATATTACTTATTGTTGTTATATATTTAACATTCTCATCTACCTTAAATTTCATCATTTCATGTCAGAAAACCTCAGTGGATTCCCTTTGATAAAAAAAAGAAGTTAATTGTTGGAAGTAAGTCGATTTTATTAGCTAAAATTAAGTTCTATAGTACCCGAGGGATCAACCATTATCACCTTACCCAGCTTAATTTGTATAATGGACTTGCCCTGCATTGAATTTGGAATTGTCCATTGTTTTTTCAAGGGATTTTATATATGAAATGGCAAAAGAAATGGATCAGCCAGCAGTATACTAGTATCATCAGTGTGATTGTACTGGCTTTTGATTTGTTGTCATTGCAGCTAAAGCTAAAACAGTTAATCATCATTGAGAAAGGTTATTAAGTTTGGTTTTCTATTTATATATATTAATTTTGGAGCTAAAATTTCTCATTCTACGGTTATTATGTTCCTGAAAATATGATGAGAATATTCTTCTAAAGGGTTGTGCCTCAAAAAGTGTCAGACAGGTACATTATAGTATGAATTTCAATGTGGGACAATATACTGATCATTGAAATATGAATATTTTTGATTTTCCCAGGTAATCCGGAGGTACAAACAAACTTTTACACTTACAATTTCCATAAACAGTGTAACAGGTAGACAAATGTATTATACATGGATGTGCACCATGAATCAATAGTGCTAAAAGTTTGCTTTTATCAAGGATTTTTTTGATAGCATGATTTAATATAATGGTATGATTGATAATAAGTAATCTGATTTTACATGTATTTTGAATGATATTTTAGGTAAAATTGCGCCGTCTGCTACGGTATATGGATATGAAAGATATGAAGGCAGCAATTCATAGAAGTGCTAGTGTTGATGAAGAAGAGAGTGCAGAAAATGGTATCATATAAACTTGTGTATTTTATTACTTTGTCCTTATTTTATGATGTATTTATGACATCATCCTGTATTTATGACACCATTTCGTATTTATGACATCTTGTATTTATGACATCATAAAGTATTAATTTTATATTATTAAGTATTTATTGCTGCAGACTGTAAAATAATGTTGTAATAACATTAAAATTACTAAGAAGGAAAATTTTCATTTAGGAATGTGAATTCCTGACAAATTAAAGTTCAGACATTTACATTGCTTGTTACTCATGTTCAGTCTGAAATAACCCTAGAGAGTCTATTTAAAGTGAATAGGTGTATACTGGAATGTCTGTAATATGATAAGTAATTACATTGGCAGTATTTAGTGTCAGACATAACAACAAACCACAATATAAAAATATATGGATTTTGTTGACAAGTGTGAGAAACATATTCAGATATTTCATATATGTATATAGCAAATAATAATATGTTCTAGAACAAAAAAAAATATTATTCATCATAAAAGTGTTCATACTAAATCACTATAAGCTTTATCAATATTTCTTTTTCAAGCAATATTCCATCCCTTATATCCCATTGTAGACAAATACACTTTTACTTGTAAATATGTCTTATTTGGAAAAGAAAAAGGTTTGGAAATACTTTTTATTTCAGCAGATACAAAACCAGCACAGCCAACCACTGGAAAAAGGAGAAAAGTTTGTTATGAGTTTCTGTCTACGATAGATCAAACAGGTATGTGCCCAAAAATGATTAGTCTTTTTACAGTTTACAAAAGCTAATAATTTTAAAGCTATTGCCATTAAGCTTAAAAGGTCAGTGGTGGCCTAGTGGTTGGGGTGTGTGCCTCCCAACCTAGGGATCGTGGGTCCAACCCCTACTTGGGTCACGATAATGTTTCCGAAGTTGACACCAGTACTGTTTATTTCTAGGAAGCAGGCTTGAAAGTGGTTAATATTAGTTTCACAACCTAGCTGAAATAAATATTTAAAAATATCTATTTTAAGCTTAAGTTCTTCCCATTTGCACTTCTGTGTCTGCATAGTACTTTTGTATTGATTGCCTAAACAAGTTATTATCGCTGATATTTTATTTATGTTTATGCAATCAATATGTGTAAATCAGTCTGCAACTAAATTAAAGAACAACCCTAAAACTCAAAACGGAGAAATACAAATGAGCTGTGTCATGACAAAACCAACATAGTGCGTTTGCGACCAGCATGGATCCAGACCAGCCTGCGCATCAGCGCAGTCTGATCAGGATCCATGCTGTTCGCTTACAAACCCTATTACAAGTAGAGAACTGATAGCGAACAGCATGGATCCTGATCAGACTGTGCGGATGCGCAGGCCGGTCTGGATCCATGCTGGTCGCAAACCCATTATGTTTGTTTTGTCGTGACACGGCTCAAATGAAGCAGGACAAACATTACATTAAGCTGTTGGGTTATAGAGATCATAAGGTGGGCTAAGTGTCAGCCATGATGTGAATTATGATACTGAAAACAATTTTAATTATTTGTCATGATAGAATAATGATGTCATATCATGATGGTGTCAGAACATGAACCATCATGTTCTGACACCATCATGATATGACATCATTATTTGATAAACATGAAATTTTATGAATAACGTCATAACATGAATTATGATGACTAAACATGAATTTTGGTGTCATAACATGAGTTTTATCACTTGCAGCTATTCCAATTTTTTTTCTCACTGATGAAATAGTGCAATATTTCAAATTTCCAAATTCCAAATGAATTATTTTATTTTAAAATACCTGAATTAATAATTCAACATCATATTTACCTTTATTTTCAGGTGAGCTCCTTGATTTGTTTGAGGATGAGGCACAAGATGATGTGAAGTATGAAAGATTATTGGTAAAAATATATTTATTTTATTAGCATATTGTTCTAGAGATCTCTTTTACAGACTTCCTGAAAGTTAAAAAAAAGTGTCAGACATTTGGTCGGACAAACCATGAAAATCTGTCGGACCGAAACGAAAACTGTCAGACCGAATAAAATTGATCAAAATCAAAGGAAAACTTGTGTTTGTATTTCTAAGACACTTTTCGGTTTGAATTTTTTTGCCGAAAAATTCACACAGTCCTTACAGCGCATTTTCATCTCCTTCCTGTCATACCACAACGTTTCACAGTCCTGCTTCCATTTTTAGCTCGACTATTCGATAAGAATAAGTAGAGCTATTGTAGTCAACCGAGCGTCGGCGTCTGCGTCGGCATAACCACTTATGTAAAAGTTTTTGTAATAGTTTAAATATTTTCAAAGTCCATTGACATATGGCTTTGAAACTTTGCACACTTGTTCACCATCATGTCCCCAACCTGTAGATAGAAGGAGGTAACTCTATCAAGCATTTTGACAGAATTATGCCCCTTTTTTGACTTAGAATTTACGTTAAAGTTTTTGAAATAGCTCAAATATTTTCAAAGTTCATTGACATATGGCTTTGAAACTTTGCACACTTGTTCGACATCATGACCCCAACCTGTAGACAGGAGGAGGTAACTCTATCAAGCATTTTGACAGAATTATGCCCCTTTTTCGACTTAGAATTTACGTTAAAGGTTTTTGTAATACCTCAAATATTTTCAAAGTCCATTGACATATGGCTTTGAAACTTTGCACACTTGTTCACCATCATGACCCCAACATGTAGACAGGAGGAGGTAACTTTATAAAGCATTTTTACAGAATTATGCCCCTTTTTAGCTCGACTATTCGATAAGAATAAGTAGAGCTATTGCAGTCACCCGAGTGTCGGCGTCCGCGTCGGCGTCGGCGTAACCACTTATGTTAAAGTTTTTGTAATAGTTCAAATATTTTCAAAGTCCATTGACATATGGCTTTGAAACTTTGCACACTTGTTCAACATCATGACCCCAACCTGTAAACAGGAGGAGGTAACTGTATCAAGCATTTTGACAGAATTATGCCCCTTTTTCGACTTAGAATTTACATTAAAGTTTTTGTAATAGTTCAAATATTTTCAAAGTCCATTGACATATGGCTTTGAAACTTTGCACACTTGTTCACCATCATGACCACAACCTTTAGACAGAAGGAGGTAACTCTATCAAGCATTTTGACAGAATTATGCCCCTTTTTCGACTAAGAATTTACGTTAAAGTTTTTGTAATAGTTCAAATATTTTCAAAGTCCATAGACATATGGCTTTGAAACTTTGCACACTTGTTCACCATCATTACCCCAACCTGTAAACAGGAGGAGGTAACTGTATCAAGCATTTTGACAGAATTATGCCCCTTTTTCGACTTAGAATTTACGTTAAAGTTTTTGTAATAGTTCAAATATTTTCAAAGTCCATTGACATATGGCTTTGAAACTTTGCACACTTGTTCACCATCATGACCCCAACCTGTAAACAGGAGGAGGTAACTGTAACAAGCATTTTTTTTACTATCAAGCACTAAGAATAGTCGAGCGTTGCTGTCCTACCGACAGCTCTTGTTTGACTTAGAATTTACGTTAAAGTTTTTGTAATACCTCAAATATTTTCAAAGTCCATTGACATATGGCTTTGAAACTTTGCACACTTATTCACCATCATGACCCCAACCTGTAGACAGGAGGAGGTAACTCTATCAAGCATTTTGACAGAATTATGCCCCTTTTTCGACTTAGAATTTACATTAAAGTTTTTGTAATACCTCAAATATTTTCAAAATTCATTGACATAAGGCTTTGAAACATGTTGAAATTTTATGCTTTTCTTTGAGAGCATAATAGGATTCTCTCCAAGGCCTATAACTGTAATATGGATTTAAAGAAAAATTTTGCCTTTTTCTTAACTTAGAAAATTTTACCTTTTAATCAAGTTTTTTTACTATCAAGCACTAAGAATAGTCGAGCGTTGCTGTCCTACCGACAGCTCTTGTTCATTAAGTTTTGTCTCAGGTCTATTCTTTTCATCTTTTTACTGCTGTTCTGCTGATGTAGATTTTCCTTTTTTGCCAGGTTTGACACATTTAGCGATGCCATTTTGTATACATGCGACTTGGATTAAAGCCTGACTGTCAGACCGATCCGAAATAAAAAATCGTCAGACGTAATCAAAATTTATCGGACATGTCCAACACATTTCGGGAAGTCTGCTTTTAAAGATCTGATAGAGATAAATTTGCTTGATCTCTAGTGTAATGATGGTGGTGGTAATCTTTCTGTGGGATTCATTTTGATATTATGACATATTATTGATTTAATTTAAAAGAGAAGTAGCTATCCAGTTAGTCTACATGTGGGTCTGTAGTTTGTGCCTGAAATAATGCATTGAGGGGCACATGAGGTACTCCTCCACCAGTAACTAAAGCTGGACAGTGGCAATATGACCTAGATAGTGCTGATGTGACTAAAATTCCAACAAAGAACAGACATAGAGAGAATTAATAACAATGCATATTATCATATAAATTGGTTGTTGTTTGCAAATAATTAATGTACAAAATGTATACAAGTTTTATATACTTTGTTAATAACTTTCTATTCACAGAGAGCAGACTTAACATCAAGATGTTTGGATCCAAAACAATACCTCGAGTTTTGTGAGGCTAGACAAGTTAATTTTGGTAATTTTTAGCTCGACTTTTCTATGAAAAGGGGAGCTATCCTACTCGCCCCGGCGTCGGCGTCGGCGTTGGCGTCACACCTTGGTTAAGTTTTTCGTACCACCCCACTTTATTTCAGAAGTATTACAAGTATGGCTTTGAAACTTACCATACTTGTTCACCATCATAACCTCCATCTACAGACAAGAGAACATAACTCTGTCAAGGTTTTTGACAGAATTATGGCCCTTTTTTGACTTAGAAAGTGTATTGAGCTTGGTTAAGTTTTTTGTACCACCTCACTTTATTTCAAAACCATTGGAGGTATTGCTTTGAAACTGACCATACTTGTTTACCATCACGACCTTCATCAACAGACAAGAGGACATAACTCTGTCAAGGTTTTTGACAGAATTATGCCCCTTTTTGACTTAGAAAATACATTGAATATGGGTAAAATCCACTTATTGCCTTAACCCTTTGAGATATTGCTTTGAAACTTTTAATGCTATTTCACATCATTACCCCCATCTGTACGCAAGAGAAGGTAACTCTGTCAAGGATTTGTTTTAAAAATTAAGGCCTTTTATCGACTTAGAATCTTGGTTAAGTTTTTAGTACCAGTCCACTTTTTGACTGAACTGTTTGAGATATTAATTTGAAAGTTGGAATACTTGTTTACAATCATGATTCCCAAACATGTCCAGGAGAAGGTAATTCTGTCAAAGATTTTATTTGAATTATGGCCCTTAACTGTCAATGTTTTGTATTATAGGCAAGCACTAAAAAACTTAAAAAATCTAAAAAAATTCATTCCTATCCACTTGTTCACTTTACCATAAATTATGTCATATAAACATTGCTGTAATATTCAAGGGTATCAAACAACTAGTTCACTTTAAAAATACAGAGATTCTTGTATTGCCTTTTACTGCAAAAACTTTTTTTATTGGCAAGCAATAAAAAAGTCGAGCGCGCTGTCTTACGGACAGCTCTTGTTAACCTATTTCATTATCTTTTAAGGTAGCCTAAACATGAGTAAGATTGTACTGCTTGGGAATGTTTAGCCATGGTTATGGCAACTTTTCTATAAGGACCAATCCATTTAGCTTATAAAAAATCATGGGTATACCTAAGAAAAATCTTAATAATAATATCAGCAGGGTTAAGCGTTAAAACAACAAAGAGACAATATATAAAGTTACAACATTATATTACAGGAAGGAAACACAAGTCACAGAGGTTTAGAGACTGGTTGCTGACTGGTGTAAATCTGGAGATCAAACCTAACCAGCATGCTATAGAACTTATAGGTTACCTGGCATATGAAACTGTCGCACAGGTATTACCAGTTATACTCCCTTCTCATTCCAATATAGTTCACATTTCTATCTAATTAAACAAAAGAAATGCTGTAAAATACTTAACCATGAGATATACATGTACCATGTTCTGAGGGAAAAGAGTGACAACAAAGTAGTCTCTCAGTGTTAACGATCACAGTGGCCACAGTAGCCGAGTGTTTAAGTTGGCTGAGTTTGAATCCCTAGCATCTCATCACTGTGGTATCAAATCCAGCCGGGAATTATAAGAAAGTTAACCAGCTAGATTATAGATGGGCAGTGGTTCTACTCAGATGCTAATTGACTGAAATAATGCACCAAGGGGTACCTGAGGTCTTCATATACCAGTGAAACTGGAAGGTGGCCAAATGACCCTTACACTGTTAGTTTGACTTAAAAGCCAACAACTAGAACTACAAAAATAATTAGCTTTATAATACATTTTAGTGCATATAGCTTGATCTAAAGAAGGTATTATTTAAATTACTACCAGTTTTACATCACATATTATGCATAGGTTATTGGTGTGGGACTAAGAAACCTAGGGATTTCCCCCCAGGACCCACTATACTTCCCAAATATCCTTTAACCCATTAAATATACATGTCAATACAAAAATGAAACAATTCTAACAAAACATATATTATTAATACTATAAACTTAGTTTTGTTAGAATTGTTTGATTTTGTATTGACGTGTATTTTAAATGGGTTGAAGGATATGTTTCCTTGCAGTGCTTTTTGTCACCAGTTGGTGAAGGGGCCTTTCCCTTAGATTTTAGGATACATAACACATTAATATTGCAAACGAGGACTGATAGACTTCATGTATTTTGAAGTTTAGGTGAAAACTACACAATTTAAAAGGCACATAATGCCTCAAAAGGGAATAAATATTTCCTTTGTAAAAAGGGCAAATTTGAGTTTTATAATGTTTAGTTAATGGATTAAGGGTATGTTAGATGCCTTTCACCTAAAAAAGTAGTGCTGAATATAAAATTATTCTTTGTAAAAGTAGCAAAATGTGCACAAAGTAGTATTCTGACTTCCATACAAAATACTAAATCACTATAGCTGTACGTATTGCCAAAAAGCAACAGAAGAAAAAGATGGCTAAGGTAATTGGCCAATGAGTAACTTTTTGGAAAATATAAGCGGGCATTAAAAATAAAAGGCTTTTGAAAAAATAAAAATTAAGCATTTCTGAAGCATAATATGCCTTTAACGAATTTTCAATGATGGAAGCAGACCTAAAATGCCCCCCCCCCCCCTGAGAAGTTAGATTTCATGTTAAAATTTGTTTAGTATGCATGGGAGGAAAAATATTAAAGAATTAAGTGCCATTCTTATAAAGCACAGTGGGTTAACATGATTCTGGATAGTGAAACTTACTGACTTTTAAAATGCCCATGTCATAATGACCTTGCTTATAAGTTTTTTTTATCGAAGTTATCATAAGATATGGGATTTGTATATGTTTGCTAAGATAAAGGTCACACAGGTTAAAGATAGAATTGATATGGGGAATTTTGTAGAAGCTTTAGATGGATGCTATAACTTAAATGTAAGAATATGTGTTCATAGTAAAGTTTGTTGATGACCAATAGCTAATTCACACCTTATCTTGGGTAAATCTTATAAATGTATTTAACTACATGTATCATTATTAACAAAAATGTTTGACATTTGAAGTAATATTAAAAACTTGCCTGTGATTTTCGTAGATAAATAGATCTAAATCATTGTTGTATTTAACAGACTTGAACCAGTTTGAGCTAGAATTTTCCAAGAAAAGTGGAATAGCTATTGTACTCACCCCTTTATGTTTTGCTATTATTACACTTTACAGTTTCACATGTCACCACGATGAATTTAGCCTCAAAGTTCTTAAATTGTGCTTTATAACATTATTTATTGTCAGTGGATCATATGGCATTGTAGATTTTAATTGAATTAAACACCAAGATGAACAATAAAAAGTTCCTGATAGAGGTTTTAGTTTCACATAATTGAACTTATCACATAAACCGCTGCGCAGGAGTGTAATAAAGCCATTTAAAACTATAAAAACGATATTACACTAGTGTAATAACACTTTGACATGACGTCATTTGCACTATATAGAAACATAGCGTTAAACTGCGCTAATGTTAGCGTTACACTATAAACACGCCATTGAAAAATAACTCATTTTAACAGTTTGCTGTCCTTATTTTAGTTATGTGATAAAAGAATATTATATTTGTGTAGATTCAATACTAAATTTATTGAACTTGTTGAATAAAACAATATTATGCTCGTCAGAAGCTCGCATAATATGATTTTATTCAACTTGTTCAATAAATTTAGTATTAAACTACACTCATTCAATATCCTCTATATTTCTATTTGAAATCTTACATGTGTTCACATCACAACAAAGATCCACAACTCTGACATGGATTTTTTACAGAATTGTCTCCCTTTGTAAACTTGAAAAATTCCTGCTTGGCATTTTAGCCCACCTGTCACAAAGTGACATGGTAAGCTTTTCTGATCGCTTTCCGTCCGGCGTCCGGCCTTCAGCGTCGGTCCGTAAACTTTTACTTTAAACAACATCTTCTCATAAACCACTAAGCCAATTTTATCCAAACTTCACAGGAATGTTCCTTTGGTTGTCAACTTTAAAAATTATTCAAAGTATTTAATTCCATGCAGAAATCTGGTTGCCATGGCAACCAAAAGAAAAAACTTTAAAATCTTCTTTTAAAAAACAAAAAAAGCTAGAGCTGAAATATTTGGCATGAAACATCATATAGTCAGTGTCTACCAAGTCTGTGCAAATTAAAGCCCTGGGGTCAAAATTAGCCCGGCTCCAGGGGGTCATTGATTTTCCTTATTTGTATAAAGTAAAAACCCAAATAGCTAGAGCTTAGATATTAAGCATGCAACATCTTCTAGTGGGTGTCTACCAAGTTTGTTCAAATAAAAGTCCTGAGGTCAAAATTGGCCCTGTCTCAGGGGGTCATTGTTTTTCCCATTATGTATATAGTAAAAACTTAAAAAATCTTCTTTTAAAAAACTCTAAGAGCTAAAGCTAAGATATTAAGCATGAAATATCTTCTAATGAGTGTCTACCAAGCCTGTTTAAATAAGAGCCCTGGGGTTAAAATTGGCCCCGCCCCAGGGGTCATTAATTTTCCTCATATGTGTATAGTTAAAACTTAAAAATCCTCTTTTAAAAAACCCAAAGAGCTAGTTAGGATACTAAGCATGAAATATCTTCTAGTGTTTGTCTACCAAGTTTGTTCAAATAAAAGCCCTGGGTTAAAAATTAGCCCTGGGGGAGGGGGGGGAAAGAGGGGGTCATTGTATTTCCCTGTATATGTATAGTAAAAACTTTAGAAATATTATTTTAAAAATCCTTAAGACCTAGAGCTTAGATATTTATCTTGAAGCATCTTCTAATGGGTGTCTACCAAGTTTGTTCAAATAGAAGCCTCTGGGTTAAAATTGGCCCTGCCAGGGGGGGGGGGGCTATATACATATGAGCGATTTCAGGGCCATCATGCATCATGGCCCTATTGTGATTTACTTATGTGGATTGTTAATGTCTGTGGATTTAGAATTTGTTATATGCCAAACAAATGAAGAAAGTAGCGTTTATTGTGAAATAATTTGTTATAAAAGTTTCAAAATGTAAACAGAGTGGTATTTTGTGATCTATACAATGTACTTAATTACTAAAACTAAAATAAACTATTAATGATCAGAAAACAAAAAAAATAAACAATGGTTCTTTAATGACCAATGAAACTCAAGATAAAAAGCTTTTGAGAAATGAAAATAATAGCATTTTGTGGCCTGTATATGCCTTTTAAAGATAGCATCCGAGAAAAACAAATTATTGATGTTCTTAAATGCCAACAAAGTAAAAACAAAGGAAGATTGCAATACAACAAATGAGTGTTCAGTTTTAGATAAAAGAAATATTAAAATGTCAAAATAAAAAATAATAATTATGTTGCACACATGATGATGGCATTTGTATTTGATGCATGGGATTGATGGTCTGTGCAGCAGTTTGAAGTTATAAATAATATTTTATTTTAAAATGGATTACAAAATGAAAGGAATTGTCCTTTTGATCTTGAATGTTTTCCTTCATCTGTCTTGTCTGAAACAATGTAGGGTTTAAAAAAAAACTTAAAGCTTTTCCTTTGAGCTATAAACAAAACTTTAATCACTAACTTCAAAGAGTTGGTATTAGAGAAAAAGGCGGATGCATTTGTATGAAGCTTGAATTATAATTAAAGATTTAATAAAGATTTTGAGGATTTGAGTTGATATTATACAGAATTCCAGTTTCTGTTTTTATTAATTAAAATTCTTTAAAATTAAAGTCTGCTAAATACAAGAATGATTTAAAATACAATTTCAACCTTTAGTATCAAAGTATTTGGAGTTGTGAAAATTTTACAGTACAATGTCTACAAAGCAATATTCTTTGTAAGGCAATGATTTTGGTTGTTACAGAGAGGTGGTACTCTAGAGAGTTTTAATTTATTGTACAGTTATTTGGCAAGAATTGATATGTGATATTGATATAAAGAGGTTATTGCTCTACAAAGTTTACACTGCAGTTAAATTTAGCTTTATTTGTGTTGTAGAGAAAATTAAGGAAACAACAATATTTTATTGGGGACCTTTTAAATGATAGCATATCATTCTTCTGGTATTACACAGGTTTATATGTTTCTTTTCTAATTTGATATTCACAGCTCTTTGTTTCTTATTTTTTATAGAGCCTTCTTTACACAATTCTATATGTTTCAATGGTACTTTTATCTACACATGTCAGATATAGAAGTTTCTGATTATCATTGTAACATATAGCATTTGCCAGTCTGCTTTCACGTCGGGTAAATGTTTTGTTATACCCTTGTTGCATGTAGTGGATCTTATGTCGTAAAGGTGCTATCCAGTAAATGGCTGAGTCATTGTATACATACACATTGTCATCTTTATCATATGCCAGCCCCTGTGGTGACCCACCTTCAAATTCAAATAATGTTTTCCCCATTTTCATGTTAAGTCCCCGAACTCTTCGCAGTTTCGCTTCTGAAACAACAATTTCTTCAAATTTCATAGTGGCGCATAGAAAAAACTCACAGGTAAAACAAGGTTCCCCAAGTTGATTGATATTTAAAGTTTTCAGCACTTTACCATTGGATTTAATGATTTGAACTTGAAACTCAATATCTTCTCTTTCCGGGTGAGAGTCAAGCCTCATACCAGCGGCTATGGTCAAGTTTTTATCATAGAGTGGACAAACCGCTGTAGAGAAACATTCACCGTCCGTATTAAATGCCACTCCTTTTGTGAGTTTTGCAACAGATGCACATCCTGGTGGTTCAAGTTTATATGTCTGGACGTCATTAAATTTCGGCCATTTTTTTGTTGGATCCTCCAACTCTTCTTGAGTAATCCGTCTGAATGATACTACAATATCGTAACCACGGGAACAGATTGAGCTTGGATGTAGAACCTTATAGTCGATATCACCAATGCACTCAAAATCTTCATTGTAAAGAGTAAGGTTCTTCTCCCGTATAGTAACGATGTAATCATCGACACTTATACAACCGTAGATGTTTCTTTCAAACCCAGGTACCGATTCAATTTTTATGTCTTTATCTTCCAAAGTTGCCACTGGTAATGCCTGTAAGTAAAAAATACAGTTGAATACTTGTTATATCCCATAGAACATATCATTGTTCAGGCCTCGACACTAACTTTTTTAGCAGGTGGTTAGCCGGACCACTAGATTTGAAATTAAGGTGGTCCTTCCAGGAGTCAGGTGGTCAATTATTATTATGTCATTTTACTGCAAAATTAGAAAAAAATATGTTTAAAATTGATGACAAAGATGTATCATTAACCTTAAGAAAACAGATATTTTAGATATATATTTTTATCTAATCAGAAATAAAGGAGAGCAAGTTAGTAGGTATTTTATCATAAAGTTATTTTTTTTTTATATGTCATTCAAAAATACACAACAGGGCTCTTATTTATGTTTACTTTTATATTGAAGTGATTTCTCTCACAACTCAAGTTAGGGAATAGTGAAACAATTTGTGTCTGTAATTTTCTTATTCAATTTGTTATTCATAAATTCATTGCTGATATGTGGTACGACTTTAATTATGATAATTACATGTATCTTTTATAGATTATCATTTTTAATAAAACTTATAAATTATCTTAAAACAAGGAAATAGCTAGAGGATAAAAAAATAATACTAATGTTATATATAACTATAGTTTAGCTTATTTTTCTCACAGATGTATAATACCGAATTTTTACCTCCCTGTTGCTTGTTGGTTGATATTTATTTTTAACATGAGTATTTTTAACCTTTTAAAGTAATGTTAACTTTAGAGGAAATTGATCTCTATCTTTAAACAGTTAAAATAAAGATAAGTAGCAAAGAATTACTAGATGTATTTTTCCAGTTCCTTTTGTTTGCTGCCATTATTTAAGTATATGAAATTTTAAGTTTATCTTATATCCCATACAATATCATAATTACCATCGTCGGATGCCCACGGTTAATTAACATGTAATATAACATAAATGTTACTGGTTCCACCGTAGGTATCCGACGATGCATAATTATTAGCATCATTTGAATGAATTTTGTACCTTAATTGATATCACAAAGTCTAAACTCTTTTAACTTGCATAAACCAAATTTTAGCGACTTAAAATGAACGTTATTGACTTAAGAACTTCTTTAACTAATCAGATAATTAATGAACCATATACTTGACATCGGACAAATGATTTTAAAGAAAATGTTTATAACATGTTTTTGACCAAATCACCATTCTCCCAAATGAGTCTGCACCAACCAGAAAATTCAAGTGGTCCGACGGACCAGCGGCTTTTAAAATTAGGTGGTCCTTGCAAAAATCTGGTGGTCTCGGACCAACGGACCACCGCTAATGTCGAGGCCTGTTGTTAATATTATTGCAGATTTCATGAAACACCCTTTATATTTAACAAATCTAGTTGTTTTACACAAAGATGCTGTGATAACTAAAATGTTTATTTCAGTAATCTTGATACAGGTGGCATTGGAGCAATGAAAGCAAAAAAAAATGGAAGCAAATTATAAGTAAAGATCACAGATACTGTAATTCGAGCTTTTAAGTGGTTTTATGGTGATCTGTCTCAGATCATTGTTTTCACTTTGTTACTCCATGCTACAGAGCAAAGGTAGTAGAGCATCAGTTAGGGTATGATATTTATGAACATGTGATTTGTGATTTTCAAATCTATTACAATTCTCTACTCTATCATATTAATATTTGACAAAAGTAGTCACGGAAACCAAATAGAGACTTATTGTATACATACGGAAAGTAAATACTTTTATTACAAAGGCCTGAAAACGCATTAGTTAAAACTTAATTTATGAAATTTAGTTTCTAAGAATTAAGTTCTCTCTAATTTATAATGGACATCGCATCAATTTCCGTAGGGAAATATTGAATGTGAAAAGCATTTTTCTTACCTGTTTTACAAGGACATTGTTAGTAAGAGATTCATACTGAGGTCGTTGTTTAGGAAGTTGTTTCCCTGTTGCTACACGATGACTGCGTGTGTGTGTAGATACACAGTTGTTACACAGATACACGCTACATTGTCCGCACCAACCTTTGGCGGGTTTATGCTGGTTAACACATGGGTCGCATATTGGGTCATTAAGACTTTCCTCAGAAGCAAATGGTGTCACTTTAGGCTTTGATTCTCCACTTCCCATATTTGATGTCTTAGTTCACTTTTTTACTCAGTTGAGGTGTTCACTCCTTTTTAAGTATAAAGGTGTTCACTCCTAACACAGTATTACTGTGAACTGACCCAGTATTTTAGTGTTCACTTCTTACTCAACATTACACAATGTTAACTCCTCACTCAGTGTAAACATGTTTGTTTGTTCAGGTAAGATGGTGTTAGAATATCACTTTTTACACAGTATTAGATACGTTCAGTCCCGACTTTATTAAAATGTTCACTCCTGACTTTATTAAAATGTTCACTCCTGACTTTATTAAAATGTTTACTCCTGACTTTATTTAAATGTTTACTCCCAACTTATTATTTCAATGGACCATATATTTCAGTATTTAAAAACAAAACAAAAAAAACACTTCTTTATCTTAGTTACATTGTTCTAAAGTCTTAGAATTTTTGTTATAAAAAGAGTATTTTTGGTAAACTCATACAAAGTCTACATGTATGTCTACTTAAGTGTTCTGTTATTTTAATTTAAATTTTTTTATTTAAATTGTCATAAACTTGATTTTTAACATATTATTCCTTTGTAAACCTATTAAATTCCTATTAATTTTCCCGTCTTAACTTCATATTATACAATGTTATATTTGTAGTGAAAATATATTTTACAGCATATCTAAGAGTTTATAATGGAATCATTCAAGCTTCATTAGCCTAAAATAGATAAGGTCATTCAATAAGTTGTTTGATTATTGATTACTACAAGATAGGTCAGGTTTCACGGACACACTTTAAATTGAAAGTCTTCTTAATAAGGTGGTTACGTTTATTTATTTGTAAGTCAGTGGTACTTAAGACGACTTCTTTGTACTGTTTAGAGGTAAATGATAAAATGTTTAAATATAAAATATGCTGTATACAAACAGGGACCTTTAAATACATGCTTCATATGCATGTATATAAACCCTGTCTAAAACTTTTCGGTTTAACTTGACTATTGGAAGGATAGTTCCCATTTGCCTGAAGTGTCTATGTTCACACCTGTGTGAAATAGAGGATATTAAATGAGTGTAGTTTAATACTTAATTTATTGAACGAGTTGAATAAGATCATATTATGCGAGCCTCTGACGAGCATAATATTGTTTTATTCAACGAGTTCAATAAATTTAGTATTGAATCTACACAAATATAATATTCTTTTTATCACATATATAAAATAAGAACAGTAAACTGTTAAAATGAGTAATTTTTCAATGGCGTGTTTATAGAGTAACTCTAACATTAGCGCAGTTTAACGCTATGTTTCTATATAGCGCAAATGACGTCACGTCAGTGTTAACTTGAAACTTGTTATTACACTAGTGTAATATCGTTTTTATTACATGGCTTTATTACACTCCTGCGCCACAGTTAATGTGATAAATAGAGGATATTGAATGAGTGTAAGTTCAATACTGAATTTATTGCATGAGTTGAATAAAATTATATTATGCGAGCCTCTGGCGAGCATAATATTATTTTATTCAACGAGTGCAATAAATTCAGTGATGAATTTACACGAATTTAATATTCTATTTATCACATACCCAAATAAAGACCATTTAAAGTGAAATAAGAGTCATTTTACATTGACGCGCCTATAGTATAACGCTAGCATTTAGCGCGTCTTTACACTATATTTTGTATAACACTAATGACGTCACGTCAAAATATATGCACGGCCGTGCAATACAATATTTATGGAGTCGCAAAATCGACACGGGTGTGTGATAAATACTTTTATGACAATCACTTCCAGGTATGAACAAGAGAAGATGATACTTTCCAGGAATTAATTAATTTGATATGATTAAGCCCCTTATTTTCATTTTTTTAAAAACCTTTATTCCACAATCAAGAATTGAGAATAGTCTGGCACACTGTATACTAGAGTGCTCTTGTTCTAACTTCAGCTCATTTAATAAAGAACTAAGATCAAGACTGTTAGCATGACTTATGACAGACTTAAGATAATTAATTATGTAATGGTGGTTCATTACAATTAATAACATTTTATCAAGTTATTGAAAGTTATGTGTTAATTGAACATATTTTCAATTTCATGTAATGGTATTTAAATCACTTACATTGATTTTAGACCACGTTATCAATTCTTATTTTTACATAAACAGGGTGCATATAATGTATGTTTGTATCATGTTTCTTATGAATGTATTTTCAGATTGTTGATCTTTCACTGTTGGTGAAGCAGGATATGTTAGCGGATACAGTCGACCCCGTGACTAGAACATTACCCAGTATCAGCCATAATCTGAACCAGACGTCAGCTATGATATCAGTGATGGGACAGTCACAAACTAACCCTAACCTTACATCACCAACTACTGTAAGTTATATCACCAACTACTGTAAGTTTCATCATCAAGTACTGTAAGTTTCATCATAAAGTACATCATCATTACTGTAAGTTATTTTATCACCTACTGTAAGTTACGTCATCATCTATTGTATGTTACATCATCAACTAGGGCATCAATGGCCGAGTGGTTAAGGTCCTTGACTTCAAATCACTTGCCCCTCACCACTGTGGGTTTGAATCCTGACAAGGACTAAGGATTCTTTCATGAGGAAGCCATCCAGCTCACTTACTAAACATCATTGGTTCTACTTAGGTGACCGTTCATGCCTGAATTAATGCACGGAAATTACCTACTTTTGGTAAGCCGTTAAGAATTGTTGGAAAAGATTTTTTCATTTGTGCCTGTATTGTTTCAGAGTCCACCCACTACACCAATTGGCCAATCAGCAAGCTCTGCTGCTGGTAATCAGGCAACTGGGTCTAGCGGTGGAAAATCAAAACCAAAGAAGAAGAAAAGAGTATGTGTTTATATCTTCTATTTACTTCATCATTGTGTGAAGCAGTTTTCTATCAGATAATGTCAGTAACATGTCAATGACATTTTGTGAATAGCATTTACTTTCTGTTAACCCTTTTGCTAAATGTTTTAAATACACTTGTCTATCATTGCATTTGGACAAAACCTATTATCATATTAGGGAAAATTACAAAGTACTGACTGAATGTTGAACAGTTCAGACTATGAGCAGACTACCTAGATGTGCTAGCAGATTTTGGTCTGTACTGGCCGCATGACTATGTAAATTCACTTGCTAAGGTGTAGGCTAAGGGTTAAGATGAGTTTTACTGACCCAATTAAGGTGATATTGTGATCTACTGTTAGTTTTAATGAAAATGAAAGCCCCTTATTGCATCATTTCCTTTTATTTGAAATGTATGTCTTGTTGATAAGTACATAAACATAATAATAGAATTTTATGATTAATTTCAGTCTAATTTCCCGCACTCCCTGGAATCACCAGTAGTAAAAGCAATACAGCCTTCAGATATACTGGAGTCTATGAGGAGATACACGGCATTTGTTGGACCATTCGCATCACAACTGGTATATGACAGTTCAAGTATTTCTTTTCCAATGAAACATGAATTATTGTATAAGAGCTTGTTTAATGTGATGACTGTTTTTATCAGAGTTTTATCAATTTTCGTAATGTTGAGGTTGAACTGCTTTAATAATTTTAGTCTTTGAAAAATAGTGGTAAAATTTATTTTCTATAAAGTCTAAGTCAAATTTTTCAATAAGAAATGAATGATTACATATAATATGTACAAATATTTGCAGTACATATTTTACATATTCTTCGATGTTTGAAAATTGTTTTATAAGCATAATTATATACATATATATAATTTCACTTATGTGTGGTATACAACCTCAATTACAACATACAGGATCTTTAAATGGACTTGCCCGTCTTTCAATCTGGATCAAACCATTCTTGGTATATAGGGAAAATTTCAATATAAGTACTGACTGAATAGCAAACAGTGCAGACCATGATCAGATAGCATGGATGTGGCAGCTGATCTTGCTCTGTACAAGTCAGTCACTGCCATCAGGCTTACAGTTAAATATATGACTAGTATTGATTTTATATTAATAGAATCTTTACTTTATTTTCAGAAATACAATTCACAATTGTCACCAAAGCTGATAACCCTCAGTTGCTGAATGGAGGTCATGACTATGAAACTAGATATTTTCCAATGTTTATCACTGAAATTTGGTCTACTTCCATAGTGTTACTTTAAAATTTGATGCAGTTAGCAACAGTATTTTAAATACATTGCAAGGAAGATGGTCTGTGGTTCCATCAAATAATGGCAAGAAAGTAAACAGTGGGTAAATGCATCTACTTCCTGTGCTAGCAAGAAATGTAAAGTTGCAAAAATTCAAATCACCAGTGAGGAAAACATATTAGTATATTTCCTTTATATCGTACTGATTTGAATAATTTAGTAGCACATGTCTGTGCTCAGAAATAACCATAAATATAGGCAATCTTTATAGAGTATCTATAAAGAAAATTGCAAATCATTAGTGATGAAAACGGCAAGGTACTTCCTGTACTTGAAGAAATGTTAAATTAAAGAATACAACCTTGAAGAGTCCTATGTGAGAAAAACTGTAATGTACATTGTAACATTTAATACCACATGTGTTCAGACAATAAGTTGCAAATGCAGACAACATTCTCTATATACATGTATGTTATTTTGTTCAATGTCTGGCATTGATTTTTTACTGCAGACAATATTGAAACAATAGATCATTGCCATGTAATTGTCTTGCTATAATACAAAGATAGTGTTTTATCTGTTTGAGCAATAATATATATATATATATATATATATATATATATATATATATATATATATATATATATATATATATATATATATATAAACAGTATTTCAGCATACTTTGTATTGAAGAAATTACAAATATAAATTTTGTACATTAGAATTCAACTATGAGGTAACTGAATAACGTCATACTTAATATTACCATGAGGAAGATGATTATAACCATGAGTTAACTGATGACACCATAAGTTAACAGAATATTACTGTGAGATGATCAGATGAAGATTGCTGTTATTGGAGTTTGAATATGGCTACACAGATAATGATGAATATAATTTTGTTAAGTTTTGATATGCTAACATATTGAAACTATTTTTTCATAAAACAAATTGTAAATAAAATTAGCTGTTAATAAAAAGAAATTTCTCTTTAAATTTACCCATTCATATCTTAAACAGTCTTTGTTTACAGGCACCTTCAACCTTACTGTAAGATATAGATTTCTTTTCTTCAGACATTGAGAACTTTAAATTCATGTAAACTTGACTCTGTTAGTGTATGGGGTTCAATAAAGATATCTCAGTGTATTATTTCTTAGTAGAACCACTGAGCTAGGTTGTTACTTCACATGATCACTAAAAGTATAAATTTTCCAGAGTGAGATATGACATTGTTGAAGACAAAGTAGATAATTTCAAGTTGGTGTCTTTTGTCTTAAAGACGTTGAGGCAGCACATCTGTCAGAGGTAGCCAAATCTACAGACCAAATGCTTCAGTCTGTGCACCACATGTCCTCCTACAAAGCTCTACCCCAAAATTTTGATTTTGTTCTTATTTTTCAACCTTACTACATTTCCATCAAATGTTTCTTTCTGTGAAATGTCACATTCTTCTGTGTTCTTCCTATTAAATATCATATTATGTCAAGTTTTCTTCCACAGTGTTGTGCTTCACTTGACTTAGCAGACAAGTTTTAAACATAACTTTTCTTCAGAAGATAAATAGCAACTTTTTTTAAAAAAGGATGACAATATTGAATATTCATTGTTATATTTTCCCTGAATCTTTTATTTTTGATGGGTAATTTTGCAGAAATAAATCAAAACTTGTCTACCTTAAAACTTTTATTTTACATTAACAAAAACATTTTAATAGTATTAGAAGGTAATGACAATAAAAAAATCTATTCCATTACATATCAAAGAATATCTATCTCTTGCACTTTTATATGTATTTATATGTAAAAAAGGATTGAAGATGAAAAAGTTATCTTTAGATGGCCGCTCAAATTTCAAATATAATTACTGAGCATTTAAATATTCAAAAAATAAAAAGTATGGCATCACAGAAAAATGTAATATATACAGACTGTGCAAACTGAACAGTCCTCACCACAAAGTACAGTCTGTGCAAACTTGGCTGTCTTTCTATTACAATTAAAATACAAATCCTGTTACAGCTAAATTTATACATTCTAAAATATTTCAGAATCCTTCACTCACTCCCTAGTAATGAAATAACTATACTTCCCACAATATCTTCTTACATTTCAAATCTTGAGTATTTATTTTTAGTACATTTTTATATTTAGTAATTCTGTTTAATAATATTACTGTTATAATTGTTATCTTTAGAATTTTTAAACCATAAATACTTAGTCGGATATACAGAAAGATCAATAATGTTCATAAAAAATTACTTCTGCAGATAGAGAAAAACCAAATTAAAAAAAAAACAACCTTATCAATACCGAAGTTGATGGTTACTGGTAATTCATACAGTCAATCTGAGATGGTGATAGTCAGAGGCAGAAATTTTTTAAAAAGGAAATACTTTGGCTATATATTCTTCTTTAGGTGTGATAAGTGGAAATTTGACCAGAAATTGCTAATATGCTATTGCTTGTTCAAAAAATTTAATTGCAATTCACAGCACAAAGTAAAAGAATATCTTCTTTCTCAATTCAAATCAAAATAAACTGCTACTGCTTTAGAAGAAAATTAACTGGTCTAACATCATATGATAGTTTTTATTCTGCTGTTTGAAGGTTGATATATTAAATAAAAGATCACAACTGATTATTTCCGCAGCTTGTCACATTATGATGAGTGATGGTGGTGTGCCTCTACTTCCTTTAACTGTTGGTGATATCTGAAATATACATCATTTTATATTGTATCATAAATTTTATTTTTACGCTTCGAAATTTAATATTAAGTTTGCGTGCACTATAATATTACACTTGTTTCATATAACATACCTTTAGTTCAGATATACTGAGGAAGGCTAACTGATTGAGTTATTATTATTCAGAGCTTCCATTAAGTTTCAAACTTTGGAAGTCAAAGACTAGAAAATGTCTAAAATTGGAAATCACATTATATACATGTAGGTAAAGAAGGAAAAGTGTTACATATTTGAAATCACAAGCAAAAATCATGGAGTAAATGACTCCCAAACTTCCATTAACAAAAGCCCTGATTATAAATCCTTAACCTGCTGAATTTCTTTAACCTTTTACCCAATGAGCATATTGTGAAAAATGGCTGTTTTCATTGAAAAGCCTCCTGTTACAAGTTCAAACTGCTATGAAACCATGAAAAATGCTTCAATAATGATGAAACTTGGTTCAAATGTTGACTGGACCATAGCCTCTGTAACAACATGCTCAATCTTAAATTTCCTGTTACCATGGCAACAGGGGAATGTCTCAAAATTGCGAAAAATCTTTACTTTGCATTGTTTTTTTTTTCCACCAAAACTGATTTCAAAGTGCTGCAACTTCTCAATGAATTGAGATAGAGTAAAAGGTTTTTCAGTGTCGGTTACTAGTTACCCTAAGATTGACCTGAAGCCATTTTTAGCCTGTCACATGTCCAAAATTTTCTTGGCACATCCCCCTTCTGGCAACCCCCTGATGTAACATTTTGATGGGGGGCGGTGCTGAAAAAGTGGTCACTTTTTTTAACAACATCTCAAACGAAAAACAGTGTTTCGGGCCAAAATAGGGCTTTTTTTTTTCACTGTTTGAGGCCTCAAAAAAAAGGGGGAGGGGGGACAAAACATATATGAGGTAAAAGGTTAATTTGAATTTGGAATAGTCCATTTGAAGTAAGAGTGACTTCAATATCAGAATACAAAAATTGACCCATCAATACTATAGAGCCTGGTCAGACTGCACAGATGTAGGGGCTGGCCAGTCTATACTGGTGGCAAAGACTAATCACTATTAATTCCAGCAAGCTTAAACGTCTGGGTGCTATTTTATCAATGGTTGTACGACCGTCTTAGTTGATAAAATGGCACATGAACTAGAATTCAGTATACAATACTGTACAATAATGCAAGAAAAATTGATATCAATTTGTATTCTTACACGCACATTGAAAAAATTCTCATACACTGCTAGATATGTTGAACTACATTTGGGGGGAAGTAATCTTCACATAATCTGGTTTAATAATGTCATATGATGTGACAACTTTCATTTTCTTATGTGATTATGTTCTTGAGTCGTATTTAGCACAGTTATATATCTTTCAAATCTAAATCAATTTAAACATGCATGTAAAATACAAGAAACAAAAGCTGTCATAGGGAGAGAACACTGAACTACTTCTAGAGCTCAAGCTTTAGTAAATAAAAATAAAAGCCATGCATTAATGTTTTTATTTCTTAACGGGAAACAATTCAGTAAAAAAAATTCTTGCTATGAGTCATGGGTCTTGTTAGTGATTGGCAATTATGACACTTAAGACAAGATGAACAGTTTCATTAGAATACTCAAGGAGGTTGTGGAATCAGAAATTGCATGTAAAAATCTATAGAGGAAGGTTCAAGTTACAAGGAAATAAATTTAACAGTTAATAGGAAAAGAAGTTGCATGTAAAACCTTAACCAAGTTTTGGAATAACATTAATACACAGTGTGTGGGATAAATCTTCTATCAAGTCGAGTTAGAAATTAATTAAATTTAAGTGATAGCAAGAAAAAAGTTCATTCATGCAAAATAAAACTAAAATAACTGCTTTTTACTTTCAAGAATTTTAATTATAAAGCCCATTTAAAGCACTAAAACTAAATGACTAATTTATTTAGAAATGTGTTCATAGGACAAGGATGCCCCCACATAACTCTGAATAAGTGCACAAACAAACCCCCGGGTTCATAACTAAACATGCTGAACAACATTTCTGTAAAGTTTCATAACTAGGTTAAGCTACCTGCGACATAAATTGAAAATAGAAAATTTTTAATAAGTCAAGGGCAATAACTCCATAACAGAACTGAATAAATCCACACCTGAAAACCCAGGTGCACAACTTCACATGCTGATCAACATTCCTGAGAAGTTTGTTGACACTAGCTCAAGCACTTTTACTATACATGACACAACATTTTGGAACGGACACACAGACAGATGGTCAAGGGCAAATCTAAATGCATAAAAAGAAATCAACCTACATTTGTTTTCATTAAGCTTTCATGCAGTTGTTAAATTCTCTTTGATAATGCAAAACTTATGATCAAAAAATAAAATCTTAGTTTCTTAAATGTCTTTTAAAGATGCTATACTTGGTTTATTGAAAGCAATCATATTTTTGAAATATACTCTAGATGCTACACATCATCTTAGTTTTAAAGCAGTGCCCGTCTTTCTGCATTATCTGCATACATAAATGCCCCTGTATCACACGTGAAATGTACAGTTATGCAAACTTTGGATATTCCTTTCCACTGGTGAACTTTGTGATATTTTATCCTTGAATTAAGATTTTGGGACAGTGATTTCTTTACTTTTAAAAAAGATAAAATTAAAAATTAGTTTTGAAACAATGAAAGTCTTTTCTTTTTATCATGATTTTTATGCTTTCCTAGAAAAGAATTAAGCACCATAAAGCCACATACACAGAACTGGGATTTACATGCTGCGGCTAACTAAACATTTCATCTATAAAACAGCAAATAGTAACTGTGGTAACGACAAATTTCACAGCATTTCTGTCATTACCACTTACCTACACCTTCTTCCGATAACTTAAACAGAAAAAGAATAGTAATAAAAATGTTCTTTGCTTTTCTTTTACTAGCCAAAATAATAATGCAACACAGAATTGGGTTTTTTATTGCTTTATATACCATGCAGAAATATTCAGATTTACGTCAATGAAATTTAAAACGACTAGTAAGTTGATTTTATTGTAGGAAAATATTGAAGCTACTTATTCAATACACTTGCATAATACAATGTAAATTCAATTTTAAAATAGCTAGTCACTTTTAGCATAAATTTGACAAATTTGTTGCATTATTTGGTACTGTTTTAAAAACCACATGTATTCAATTAATATAATATTTGAAAGGTCAAGGTAGGTCATGAGTAATATGATAACTCAGACACATTTCTTAAAATAGCACAAAGATAATATATACACTTGTTTGGAGTAACCTACCCATACCCTGGATTGATTTTTTTTCTGGATAAAACCATTAAGTCTTTGCTTTATTTATTTTGCTACATTTTAAGTCACTGTTACGGTAATGTGGCAATATTCCAGCTGTACAGTTGTTGAGGAAGACCTCAGGTTCCCCCTGATTCATAATTTAAGGCACAAGCAAGCTACTTGGCCATGGAGGCCATATCATCACTATTCAATTCAAATGTTCATGTTATACCTATTCTCTAATTTTAAACTTTAATTAAAAAAACAAGATTTGAGAATCATTGAAACCAGTCTTAGAATTGAACTCTTGTCATTGGTTAAATTTGAATGTGGTTTAAGAATGAACCAATCAAATGTTTGATTTTCAGACTGGTCTCAATGGCATACAATTAGTTGATAACTCACTTGTATATTCTACCCAGCTGATATAACCCTGTAGCAGCCACAAAGAGGTTTACACAGAAAAGATTGTAGTTCTTTGGAGTTATCACAAGGGAATAGCGGGACCAAATTATACCTGAAATATAAATTTTACCTGTTTTATACCTGCACTGACTCAACTTTTGAAGAAATACTAACTATGAGACAGATTAAACAAACATTATCATAAACATAAACAAAGCAGGATACAATAAATAGGATATACTGAGTATATACAGGATGGCCATCCCACATGACCTGTGACCTCAGAAATGAATGGAGATGAATGGCTGCACATAAACAAACTGATATCAATGCATATTTTCCACGCTGGTTGTCTTATTTCAAAACCAGTTTAAAAATGAATTAAAGCAGTGTAAACCAAACAATTTTCCCTTTCCTTGGTACTAAAGTTTCCATCACAAAAGGAAGCATTTTGTTCAAACATTGTTTTGAAATATTAAAAGACCTTGCTTGGAAAATATTAATTGGTATCAGTTTGTAAATGTGTGCCGCCATTCATCTCCATATCTGATGTCACATGTCATGTGGGATGGCCACCCTGTATATCACAAATATAATATATGCAATCTGGATAAACTAACAAAATCAAATGTTTTTACACACATATTTGAAAATGAAAATATATACCACAATGAATTTGAAGAGGAGACTGGCAAAACTATGTGATGCAACCTTACATTTTTTACTGACTGTTCATTTAATGAATGCATGTTTTAGGTCAGAAAACCAGCCCTTTACAATAAGGCCTTACTCCTGTATACAATAGTTATATACTCCTATATTGTCCTCACAAAAACGACCATGTTAAATGCCATGAACTAAACTACATCAGTCTGACTTTAACAATGCAGCAATAGTCAAAGCATATTAATGCAGAACAGACCATGTCAGATTAAAAACCAAGGATTTGAAAGTTTAGCCGATTGCAGATCAGGTTATATAAGCTAACAAGAGCTGTCAGAAGGACAGCATGCTCGACTATTCTAAGTGCTTGATAGTAAAAGAGCCTTGATAATGTTAAATTTTTTAAGTTCACAAAAGGGCTAATTTTTTTTTATAAATTCATGTTATAGGCCTTAGAGAGAGTCTAATTATACAGTATTGGCTTGACTATTCGGAAGGTAATGTCACAAGGGTGTTTTATTGAGTATAATAATACTAATTACCTATGAATACATAAATTTGACAGAAAAGGTACAAAGGCTTGTTATTAAGATGTTTTATCAAGTTAATCACTGCTTTATTATTATGAATGCATAAAATTGTCCCAAAAAAGGCACAAACCCTTCAGTAGTTATTGAGATAACAGCTTACAAGCAAAACTTTACAATGAATTTCTAAGTTGAAAAAGGGGAGAAAAATCAGCCTAAATGCAAGATAGAATTATGCATCTTTGTCAGTGACCTACAAGTATGACCCTAAATGCATATGTGAAGTTTTAAATAAATATCTTTAATAGTTATTGAGATATGTAAAACTTGCATGTAAACATTAACCAAGAGACTAAGTAGAAAAGGGGATATGAATCAGCCTTAATGCAAGATAGAGTTATGGAACTTGGTCAGTGACATACAATTATGACCCTCCAATTATGACCCTAAGTGCATGTGTAAAGTTTCAAGTAAATATCTTTGAAGACCTTTAACCTTTAACCAAAATTTCTGATTTCAAAGGGGCAAATAATTCTGCAAATATTGCAGGCAGAGTTATGCAATTTTGAAAACTGATGTACATTGTTACTATAAAAAAGTATTTTAAATTTCAATTGAATATCTCAAGCAATAATTGAGATATTTGACTTTACAAAAAAACTTTAACCAAAATTTCTAAGTTCCAAAGGGGCATAATTCTGTCAATATTGTAGGCAGAGTTATCCAACTTGTCAATCTGATGTACCTTGTAACTATAATTGAGTATTGTAAGTTTCAATTGAATATCTCAAGCAATAATTGAGATATTTGACTTTAACCAAAATTACTAAGTTAAAAAGGGGCATAATTCTGTCAATATTGTAGGCAGAGTTATCCAACTTGTCAATCTGATGTACCTTGTTACTATAAATAAGTATTGTAAGTTTCAATTGAATATCTCAAGCAATAATTGAGATATTTGACTTTACAAAAAACTTTAACCAAAATTTCTAAGTTAAAAAGGGGCATAATTCTGTCAATATTGTAGGCAGAGTTATCCAACTTGTCAATCTGATGTACCTTGTTACTATAAATAAGTATTGTAAGTTTCAATTGAATATCTCAAGTAATAATTGAGATATTTGACTTAACAAAAAACTTTAACCAACGCAGACGCCGACGCCGGGGCGACTACAATAGCTCTCATATTCTTCGAGCTAAAAACTGTTTATGGGTGAGCCATATAACCTGTATTTAAAGACAACTTTATAACTAATAATGTACATGTAATGGCACATAAGATCTATGTAACATAAACATTGCAGATCATTGTAATAATAACCTTGACCTTTACCCTGTTGAATTTCTTAAATGGACATGTCAAGCTTTTCTTGGAACAGACCAATATCAAATTAGGGGATATCAATATGAAAATTTAAGGTTTGTCAGCCAATAGCATAGCACCTGGTCAGAAAGCACTGATGTGCAGGCTGGTCTGGCATTATACTGGTGGCTAAGGATAATCTATAATATTTCAATTCAACCATACCAGATTAATGGTTTAAATAGATAGTGTAACATTATTCAAGATTTTAAGCAGTGCTTCTTTCACTCCAGCATGTAAAACCAAAATTGGAAGTGTTATCATACTTGTATAGATACCAACTAGTATACACAATGTAGATAAATATAATTGTTGTATAAAATATGCAGGAACTATATACTGACCTGTTGCAGCTAAGGCAGTGGACTGTGTTAAACTGAGTTTTTCTGCAGGTCTAGCCATATCACCTATACCAGCTATTACGAGACACTATAATGGTAAAACAAACATTAAATTTTAACAATTTTCCCCACTGTTGATTAGCCCCACAGTCAAGGTTTTCTTTTACTTTATATATCAGAAGGCCTTTAAAGGGTCTCTTTCCAATTGAAACCTTCTAAAAAATGATGTGCACATTTTTTTAACCAAAAATTATTGCTAAAATTGAATGATAATTTTAAGTAAAATCAAGAGGCTAAAGCCTCTCCCTAATAAAGAGAGAGCAAACAACAGTAGTAACAATATGCACCATATGTAAGAAATAATATACATTGTACACATCTTAAATAGTGTTTCTTGCTTGAAAAAGAGCAGATTATTTACACACTGTCTACTAGATACAAGGTATATTTTTTTTAAACATGCAGCATAAACTGGGATCAATTGTCACTAAAGTTGTCACTTTTAATACTAGTAATTACCAGACTGTTATAAATGTTCTTTAAATCAAATGAAACTGTCATTCTTTTAAACATATTTTGATCTAAACATTCATATTTAGTAAATGTATAAAACATTTTAATATGATTAATGTCAAAGTATCTATCCCTGATTATCTATAATTATGATATAGCTATGAATTTAAAGTTAATTGAAGTCAACTCATCCTGTAGTCTGTCAACTTGTCTTGTGGTCAACTCGTCACCTTTTCGGTCAATTCAGCCGCTGGTCAACTTGTCCCCTATCTCGTCAACTATTTTCTCTTAACCGAAAGTTCATTTATCATCAGAAAATTTAAGGCAAGCTAAGTTAACCTTATAAACAATGAAAATTACCAACATGGTAGAATTCACGAATTCGAAAACCTAGCTAAACGCCGTTTTCCGGTACTTTCTGTACACAGCTCTGGGGAATTCACCTAAATGGAGTGTAATAGCGAACTCGATGTTTTCGGCCTTTTTTTTAAAATTAAATTGAAATAAAACAGTTATTTCTTTATTCGAAAATAATTAAATATCATTGTATGAATAGTTCCATACAAAAAATAAAGTAAATACACAAATTTACGCAGAAAATAATCTTATTTATTATGGAAGATTCCACTACGTCTGTTTTAATTTTATTGATTTTCATTATAAACAATTTATTTTTTTGAAAAATTTGCAATAGATATTAAAGGAATATTGATAATTTTCAAATACATCAATTTTTTTTCACTTTAAACGGTAAAATAATGATAGAAAAATAGAAATATCATGTAACTGTGTTATATGTACTTCATTTGGTTTAATTCCCCAGAGCTAAATCCGTAACATACCGGAAAACGGTGTTTAGCTAGGTTTTCGAAAAGGTCAATGACACTGTAACCACAACATAATTTTTATACATACCCATTTCATTGTGGGAGCCCAAAAGAATATCGTTTTTGGTCCTGAAATTATATAATATCATTGATGACTTAACTTGTAAATTTAGGCGACTTCAGATTTATTTTATATTTGATTTAATACAGTGTTTCATTTAATGTTAACATATTCTTTAACTCTAATTATCCATGGAAACGACTTGTCCGAATACTATGCTACTTCAAAAGTATTTAGATCGCGAAATTCAGTTAATTTATGGCAATGACAAACCTGCTGGGTGGTTCCATGTTGACTGTAAACTTGCTGGAACAAATTTATCTGCAATTCTGATGACGTTTCTATAGATTAATGACATATTTCGCCAAAGTTACCCTGAGGTCAGAAAGCGGAAGTAAATAAATTGTTGTTATTGTTGTAGTTGTAGACTGTGCAAAAATCATGAATTGCCTCCCCTTTATCAAATCACCCCATTTGTAGCATGAAGGTCGGTATAGTTTTTGCATTGGTTTTGCGATATTATTTAGAGAGAATGTTGCCATTTTTCAAATTTTCATGAGAAATAGTTTATATTTATACTTTTTTCACAAATAAAATCTACTGTAGATAGATCTCAAAGAATAACTAAAATTAAATTTACTCCAACTTCAGAGTCCAAGTTGGTTACCCTGGACCGATTTTGAATTATCTACTGTAGTTACACAAGTGACAATAGTTGTTAATGGAACTGGTTGGCAGAAGGCAATGCACATGCTTCTAATCTCTAATCTACTACAGTAGTCTACCATTATCTCCGATTATTCAGAGTTAACTTAAGATGCAATACGCCGAATACGCACACTCACACTTAATCTCTATATCTGTATCTTGCTTTATCCTGGAATAGACCGGGGGTTCATTCCGTTTTCTCTAGATTATTATATACAAGTTTTACTCCTCAAATGTACAGAGAAGATTGCACTCTTTCTCACTTGGCAATCATAATCTTGAGTCCTCCATTACATTCCACTGCACATTATAAAGAGTTTATAATGGAGGTTTTCTACTGGCATGTTACTCTCTTTGTGGCTGTCAAACTTTTTTTTTACATCAATAAAGCAACCTTACCTTTGGTTGCCATGATTTTAAAGTTCACTTGATATGTATGAGATATTTTTATATCATTTTAATCTATACCATTTATTGAAAATTCACTGTATTTTTATTAACATCTACCTGTAAACCAAAATATAATCTTAATATGTTTCAGGATGCTGTTCTAGTGTTTGGTAGCAGTAACACTGACTGATAGAAGATATGGCTTTAAAATTATGTTGTAAAATAAGACATTTGAGATTACAAAAACAGTTTGTATTAGCTACCAGAATCTTTAAACACAACAGTAACTTAAGGTTATTTCAAACTCATCATTCATCTTTAAAATCCAAACAGTTGGACTGCACACTTCATAATAAGAGATGGATGTCAACTATACAAGGCTCAGAACAACCTTCTACCAAAAGACAAGCTTTACTCTATGCGACTTACGGCTCCTTCGCTCTTGGTGGCTTTCTGTTAATAGCTATAATTCTACGAGAGGTCAAAAAGAAACGCTTACAGTGGAGAGGGATATTTGAAATGAAAATTCCTGAAATGAGACGTCTTGGAATGTATAAATATAAAGATGTGACACTACCACTATTTGTTGTGAATGAATTAGAAAATATAGAAAAGTTTGAATCTACTGCTGAAGACATATGGGTTGTGTCATTTCCTCGCTCAGGTGAAGTCTTTGATGTATTAAAACTTTTAAAAGTACATTTTAGAAATTTTATACTGTTAAATTTATACATTACTGAAAACATACTGTAACATTTTCATTCTAACTAATGTCACTTTAACATGATCTTAACACTTAGCCTGATGGATTCAAAAGTGATAACATACACATGTAGCCTTTGCCACCAGTATAGAGCTAGGCCAGCCTTCACTTGTGTGTAATCTGTCTCAATTTGAAGCTCAATTTTCGAGTTTTGATATTGAATGAAATTCTTTAAATTTGGAATGTATCAAAATAAATCCTGGGAAAATGAAATGTACACAAATTCAGCAGGTTTAGGGTTAATATGTGTTGATTCTAGACAACACAAGAATATTTTATGTTTATGAACATTTGTAAATTAAAAATAAAGTTTTAGTAAAATGCCATTTATCATAACAGTTAATAATTATTCAGATGCAAAACTTTAGAACTAGATCTTTAGTTTAAATGTAATCATATACCAATGGAAATGATGGGAATTATGTCTGTTTGTTTTTTGTACAAACAAAGCATAATCCATGTCACAGTAACACAGTAAATAATTTTAATATATTTTTCAAACAGACAAAAAGATATTTAATGTATGATAATAACCTTTCCTGTTGAAACAAAAATGTAATCCAGAATTTGTCTTAGTTTTTATATGATATCCAATTAATCCAGTAACAATTAGATTTTTTTCACTAAACAGGAACAACATGGTTACAAGAGATAGTGTATTTAGTACAAAATAAGGCAAACACAGTAAAGGCTAAGTCTAAATTATTAGATAGTAGGTTTCCATACCTGGAATTTATGACACCTGGTATTAAAGAGATAGAGAAGATGCCTTCCCCACGCCTCTTGAAATCTCATCTACCTTATTCATTATTACCCAAGAGTGTGCATGAAAACAAACCAAAGGTGAGTTCACAGTTTACTGTTTATAATGATAACAAACACTATTGGAGATTCATTTTATGGTTTGTGTATGAACGTCATGTGATTTGACTAACTGCAGTAATTATATTATTTTTCAACAGACAAGCACTACCCCCATCTTTGAATTGTTTACAATATATTCTGTTTTCTGAGTTTGTTTATTTAACAGTCTCCCTCTGAGTTTAATAAGGAGAGCATGAGATTAGTAATGCAGAGGTCACTAGTTCAATCCTTGAACAAGGTTCTCTGTAACAATTCATCTTGGACATTGAGTCTAATGTTCTTTTGTCTCTCACCGCTGATTCAGAAATGATGCAGGAGTCAGTCACTTGCGGTAAAGTGATAATTTGTGGTTACTGTAATTATTCAAGCTGGTTGGTTAGTGGATCAATCCAGAGATATACCAATAAATGTATTAAACCAGAAAGCTTATTTAACTTGGACTAAGTTTTTAAATGCATACACATTGTACATGAAAAACAGGAAAGGAATGTTGACATGTATTATGACATCAAATACGGCCTCAATGAATGAAAAGATGTCATGAAAATTACTTTTCTGTCTCGTAATGTAGTTGAACAAATTTTCAGTCATTCTCTGTGTAAAAGTAAAAATGAAAATATAAAATTAATACAAAGTCATATGTTGCATGTTTCTTGATCATATACTTTGTAATCAAGCCTATGGTCTCTATAATTATATAACTGCACAAATGAACTTGAACAATACAACATTGTACATTGTATATCAATGCAGTCAGAGATGGTATTAGTTTCATAAATAAAAAAAATAATTGGTGTTCCTGCTACACAGGGACCCTTCTTGTGCTGGAGGTAATGTATTTTTGGGTCTTTTTACGCAACTTCCTACAAAGGTATGTTTCCTTCTTGGAGCGTTTATTTTGTCAATTATTAATAATGTTACATCATGTATCATGTAGGTCTCTTTGTTAAATTACAGTACAACCTCTGTAGAGCAACATCTTTTAGGAGACATATATTTTGGTTGTTGAAGAGAGATGTTACTGTAGAGATATTGAATCCAGTTTAGATCTTAGTTTGGGAAATCTTTAATTCTTTTGTTATAAAGCTGTTATTTTGCAATTTGCTTGACAGAGATTCGATTTGTAGAGGTCAATTTTTATATGGTGCTCAATCATTTTCTTTTCCTTTTAGATTATTTATATAGCAAGGAATCCGAAAGATGTTGTTGTGTCATACTACTACTTTGTACGTCTGCTGTTTCCAGTGACAAGATATGAAGGAGAATTTAAAGAATTTTTCAATCTTTTCATCCATGATAAAGGTATAGTATTTAGTAATTGTATCAGGTCATGTGTATAATATATTTTAAAGATGCTATATACTGTAATGAAGTTTTAGTAAATGTTTCAAAATGAATTTATGTCCCTTAACCTGCTGAAACAGAAAGTGATTAACCTTTGCCACCAGTATAGAACCAGGCCAACCTGCACATCCATACAGTGTCTGTACTGTTGCTAGCTCAGTTGTTGTATTCTGATATTAAAATCGCTTAAACTTTGACAAACTGTTTTAAATTCAAAGCAGGAACAAAGTCAGCAGAAAAGGGGTTAGTTATTAAATCATTAGCCTGTATTTAATAAAGCTGGGCTTGCTAAAGGGAGAGCAACAAATTAGTAATCCAGGGGTTAGATCCTCAGATGTAGTATTATTTCTCTGTGACAATTTATATTGGACATTTGCCTCTCACTGTTATTTCAGTTGGCTGATAAGTTTACAGAACTTTTGATCAGTTAGCAGCTTTTACTGCCCAAATAGATAATGACAGTATAAACTTCCCATGGTTACCATACATTGTAATATCATCAAAAATGTATATTTTGCAGTTATGTATGCTCCCTGGTGGAGACATGTGGAGGAATTCTGGGACATGCGTCATGAGGATAATATACTCTTCCTTACTTATGAAGATCTTAAAAGGGTAAAAAATGTTTTGATTCTTTACATGAGCGTATTTCCACACATTCATTTAAGCTTGATTAGGAATCTAATATTAATCACTTTTGAGTCCTATCTAGAAGTTAAAAGTGCTGGTGTCACATTAAAAAACATGGTTTTGACCAAAGTAGGTTTCAAACCAAAGGTGCCTGCTTTGAGAGACAGACACTTTAACCACTAGGCCAACACTATCCTCATAAATTTTGAACATCATAAAGCCATGACATATTTGTTCCAGGTAACAGACATTCATTACTGATACTGTGAATTATGTTTTCTTATAGTGATTTAAAATGCTTTCTTACAGTTATTTAGTTCTTAATCCGAGTTTTCCAGTAAAAAATTTGAAAATGTTAGCAGGCCAGTGAAAAATTGCGAGCAATTTCTTCCATGCACAACTTGTACATTTCTCAAGGGATTTCAACTAAACTTTCAAAATAAAATTGTCAAATTTTCCCCCGAAAATAATGGTTTTGTTTCCAGGTTAAAAGATTATATAAGATACATGTAGTGTTGAATAAAGACTAAGCTTTCAAGTGTGTAGGTAATACACATCCTAACTAAAACCCTTGACAAATGATATACATGAAACACACTTAATATCTATTTACTGATATTTTTGTTGTTCTCTTATCAAGGATACAGAAGGCACTATAGATAAGGTGGCGAAGTTCCTCGGTAAGACTCTGACACAAGAGCAGAAGGACAAAATTATCGATCATTGCAGTTTTGAAAATATGAAGAAAAACCCGACAACAAATCACTCCTGGTTTGAAACTCTTGGTGTAAGTGATCCTAAAAGGGGTGACTTCATGAGAAAAGGTAAAAAATCTAAATTGGGATTACATGGTTATATCAGTTAAAATTTGCACAGTACAGATATATGTATTTGAGATTGATCTATTCAGGGATGCGAGTCTTTCGTTATCTAAGATGTTTATGGCAACAGAGTTGTATCTTATTCTTCATCTTTAGAGGAACAACGTTCTGTTAAACCTTATCTTGTTGGAACTAGAAATGACGAACATAAGCAGTCTGACCTGCAGGCTTGTGTTGACTGACTGATTCCATTTTCATCTTTATATCCCCAGAAATAGTTGACTGTTTCAAAAAATGTAAGCTGTAAAAGTTCATTTAAGAAATTCTGCAGGTTATGGGTGAAAGCTATGGTTGCACCATCTGTCCAAATGTTTATGTGTGTCTAATCCTTTATTAAGATGTAGAAGTCTGAAATAGGCACAGATTACACACTTTTGCATAATTAATAACTGTTTGAAATGAAATACTTGTACTATAAATGCACGTCTAGTCAAAGGGTAAGGTTTAAAGAATACTATGTATTAACCATCTTAATGATGTTTACAGGTTGTGTTGGAGACTGGGCTAATCATCTCACAGATGACATGAACAGACAGATGAACCAGATGATAGGATATAAGTTAAGGAACTCTGATATAACATTTGCATTTAAAGGGACACATTTTGAAAACAATGATGGTGACACTATAGAGCAGACTCTAAAATGATGAAAGCTTGTTGTAGCAGAATCTCCTTCATTTGTGATAACTTTTTCAGATTTAATTAAGAAAAGCATTAGAAAAGAACAAAAGATTGATGTTATAAACAGAAGACAGAAAATGAAAGATCTTAAAGGATGATTATTAAGAATATACAGATTTGTAAACTTGTTATGATTTGGTTTTTTTTAGGGGGGATAACAAACTTGTGTAAATTTGTGTTGTCGTTAAATAGAACAGTAGAAGAAAAGATTGCTAAGTTTCAACATAATTAAAATGCATGAACTATAAATTAAAAATAGTTTTGAATTCATTACAGAAAACATATTTTATATTTCATTGTAAGAATATACTGTTTAGATAAAGAAATGATCCAGCTTTTGAATTTTAATTTTTTAAGGGGAAAATATCTCAAGGAATTAATATGGTGCAAGAGATTTTTTAGGGGAAAAATTGTTTTGCATTTATGACAGGAATTCTTTTCTTTCCTTGTTAGATGGCAAATATGGAATGACCACTTGTGATAATTTATTTTTAGTGAAACTAATAAGAAATAAAACATGCTTTTATAATTTGTTTTTGCATTTGTATTTTGCACCAGATTTTGCTTGATTGTTGTTATTCAGTATCACTTGCTCCTAGCAGATGTAGGTTTAATCCTACCAGGAACTTTAGATTCTGTCATTTGAAAAAGCTATCCAGCTAGATTATGCAACCTTGGCTATTCTACTCATGTGCCCGTTCATGCCTGAAATAATGCATGGAGGGACACTTGAGGTCTTCTACCATTAAAGCTGGAAAGTTAACACATGACTTTTATGTGTTGTGACTTTAAACCCAACAAAACAAACAATTCAGTTTTAACAGATTTGATATGTGTAGCTAGCAATTTAAAACTACAGCTGGACATACATAATCAAGACTTTGTTTTATTTCATAACATTTCTCAAAAGTTTATTAAATTATATAGAATATATTTTGAATGGGTTCTTTAATCTGCTAAATTTGTATAATGAACTTGTACATCATCCATTTTTGGAAATGTTCATTATCAATTTTTGTGTTTGAAGTCAGTCAGCCAACATGATAGAGCCTTTTTTAATCTGAAACATCAATTTGAAAAAAAAAATCAAAATTCTTAATTTTCATTTCCAAGCAAGAAATGTTCAGTAGTTTTGGTATAAAGTCTTTGATACAAAAGCATATCTTTTAAAGTATGTGGATTTGTTGAGGAGATTTTTTAGGTACCTGTGTGTGCCAGAAATAATAACTACGAGGGTTGTCCAAATATTCTGTGACAATATTGTTTAAAAGCTTAATAAACTATGTACGAATTTGTTTGTTTCATGTCATATAAACCCATATTATGGAAACATTTTCACAAATTTACATAGAAAAATATCAACAAACAACCAAAATATGCCATAAATACCATGACATCTATTTGAATTGCGGCGCATGTCAAATATGATGTGTGCCGGGAACTCAAACCAATGTTGTTAATATTGAAATTTTTTAAGTAACTTTAGTAGATATTTTGTAAATGATTTGTTGTAATGTTAAATAATAAACTTATAGGTTATACGTGTGAATTAATATCTATTGACGTTAAAAATGAACTGTGTAAGATTTGTCACAGACTTTTGGGACAACCCTCGTAACCAAGCACCTTGTTCACCAAGAAAAATTCAAGATAAGGATCGTTACTTTATTTACTTTGTGCAGCTTGTATTGGTGACATAGGCTTGAGTTCGTATTATAAAAGTTAAAATCTGCTAAATTTCACGAGAACAAACTTATGTTATACTCTCTGATACATATCATAAAAGTTAAAATCTATTAAAACTGCAATAAATTTGGCAAAAGTTAATAAAAATAAGTTTTGATCCTTTTTCTTAATCCTTTGGCGTCATTGGGTTTGCTCAAAGAATGCCATATTACCTGTATATGTCTGTATAAAAATTAAAAAAAATTTTTTAACAATGGAAAACCCAAAATTTTATGATTTGACTAAAAACCAAATTAAAAAATAAAAAATTTCATCTGTTTTTCAAACAAAACCCTGCGCAATCTACAGAAAAAATTTTAAGGGCCATAATTTAGCGAAAAAAGAGGGAAAATTCCCTTGTTGCCCAAAAATCTACTGTCCTTTTTGAAATCTAAAAGGTTTTTTAAAATTTTAAAAAAGGTCATTTTTTCCCTTAAACTTTCAACAACGACATCAATATTTGTGTTTCTCCAGAGGTCATCAAGTGTGTTCTGTATAACTCCGTCATTCTGGGCGGGGCTTAGGGTGCAGGTGGAGTAAACAATGCAGCCGCCAGGTCGACATGACTTTATACCAGCTCTAAGAAAGGAAAGACATAGTTTATAGTACACATCATTTTTCAATGATTCGCTGTTAAAACATGGGATGTAATTTTGTTTGAGTGATAATGGAAGGTTCTATACGAAGAATTGGTTCATACAAGTTTATTTTAGTTTGATTGTGTTGGAAGCTATAAGCTTATTGAAACACTCTCGAATCCATTCCTGGAAGCAACCAGTACAGTTAGTATGCAATGAATGTAGAGTTTCTTGCTCAAGGAAAAAAATGGCTCGTCTCTGACAGGATTTGAACCCACACAGTCGGCAATCCTTAGATTACTAGTTTGATGCGTTAACCACTCGGCCACACTGTATATTTTTACTAAATCTAAACACATCTAAAGAATAAACAAAAAATTTCTCGACCAGGTAAAAAATTGGTATCGTCAATAAAAACTTTAAATATAGAAAATAAATCTGTTTTAGTGCCTTTTTTTCCTTTTTTTCTGGTAAGGACTTACTTTTTTATGTAGAACATGTAGATAAAGATAAATAAATGAATAATTATTTAATTTTTTTACTTTGTTCATTTTTTTTTCACAAAAGAATCAATTTTGTATAGAGAATAAAAAAACACTGTGGTAATTCTTATACATTACTTGACAAACACAGTAATTTTGTATTAAAACCATTTAGTTCAAAAATAAAAAATAAGACTCCATTATTTCAGATTTTTTTTTATTAATCCTTATTTTCTTTCCCAAGTCAGACAAGAACCGGTTGAACCGGGTGATGCTCCCCGAGAAGGTTCTGGACACAGGAAAGTATAAAAAAAATGAACAAAGGGCAAAAACTCCAAAATAAGGCAAAGCGGAGTTATGTTTTTTTGCACTGCACTTCTATTCAATGAGATCTATCTATCTATAAAGTTTCCTGATGATATCAGAGTTATGTCCCGGGTAAAAGTCAAAGTGTAAAAATGAACAAAGGGCAATAACTCCAAAATTAGACCAGGCTTTGTTTAGGTTCTTTAAGCATTGCAGTTCTATCCAATTATATCTAGCTACCTACAAAGTTACATGTTGATATCTCTAATAGTTTTAAAGTAATGTCCAGGACAAAAGTCAAAAAGTAAAAATAAACAAAGGGCAATTACTTCAAAATAAGGCAAGGCAGAGTAATGATTCTTAAGCACTGCACTTCCACCCAATGAGACCTATCTATCTACAAAGTTTCATGTTGATATCTCTTATAATTTTAGAGTAATGTCCCAGACAAAGTTCAAAGTGTCAAAATGAACAAAGGGCAATTACTCCAAAAGTAGGCAAGACAGTGTTACAGTTCTTGTGCACTGCAAACTTACTCAATGAGATCTATCTACCTACAAAGTTTCATGTTGATATCTCTTATACATTAAGAGTTATGTCCCGGACAAAGTTCAAAGTGTAAAAATAAACAAAGGGGGATAATTCAAAAATTAGACAAGGCAGAGTTACGGTTCTTGTTCACTGCACCCCTACTCAATGAGATCTATCTACCTACAAAGTTTCATGTTGATACCTCTTATACTTTTAGAGTTATGTCTCGGACAAAGTTCAAAGATGGGGAAAATTCAAAAATTAGACAAGGCAGAGTTACGGTTCTTGTGCACTGCACACCTACCCAATGAGATCTATCTACCTACAAAGTTTCATGTTGATAGCTCTTATACTTTTAGAGTTATGTCCAGGACAAATTTCAAAGTGTAAAATAAACAAAGGGGGATAATTCAAAAATTAGGCAAGGCAGAGTTACGGTTCTTGTGCACTGCACACCTACTCAATGAGATCTATCTACCTACAAAGTTTCATGTTGATACCTCTTATACTTTTAGAGTTATGTCCAGGACAAATTTCAAAGTGTAAAATAAACAAAGGGGGATAATTCAAAAATTAGGCAAGGCAGAGTTACGGTTCTTGTGCACTGCACACCTACTCAATGAGATCTATCTACCTACAAAGTTTCATGTTGATACCTCCTATACTTTTAGAGTTATGTCCCGGACAAAGTTCAAAGTGTAAAATAAACAAAGGGGGATAATTCAAAAATTAGGCAAGGCAGAGTTACGGTTCTTGTGCACTGCACACCTACTCAATGAGATCTATCTACCTACAAAGTTTCATGTTGATACCTTTTATAGTTTTAGAGTTATGTCCAGGACAAATTTCAAAGTGTAAAATAAACAAAGGGGGATAATTCAAAAATTAGGCAAGGCAGAGTTACAATTCTTGTGCACTGCACACCTACTCAATAAGATCTATCTACCTACAAAGTTTCATGTTGATAGCTCTTATACTTTTAGAGTTATGTCCGGACAAAGTTCAAAGTGTAAAATAAACAAAGGGAAATAATTCAAAAATTAGGCAAGGCAGAGTTACGGTTCTTGTGCACTGCACACCTACTCAATGAGATCTATCTACCTACAAAGTTTCATGTTGATACCTCTTGTTGTTTCAAAGTTATGTCCCGGACAAGAAAAGGGGACGGACGGACGGAAAGACGGACGGACGGACGGACAAGGCGGCGACTATATGCTCCCCCGAAATTTTTTCGGGGAGCATAAAAATGGCAACTTACAGCAGGAGATCCTTTTGTACAGTTGGCATTTCTATTCTCTCATTAATACGACTAGGACTGAATAGATTGTTCTTATCTTCTAGCAGGTAATGTCTATCTGTGTTACATGGAACATCTACTAACACCTGAAAAATAGTGGAACATGTCTATCTGTGTTACATGGAATGCCAACTAACACCTGAAACATAGAGGAACGCCTGTTACATGGAACATCTACTAACACCTGAAACATAGAGGAACATGTCTATCTGTGATAAATGGAGCCTCTACTAACACTTCCTGAAACATAGAGGAACATGTCTATCTGTGATAAATGGAGCCTCTACTAACACTTCCTGAAACATAGAAGAACATGTCTATCTGTGATAAATGGAGCCTCTACTAACACTTCCTGAAACATAGAGGAACATGTCTATCTGTGTTAAATGGAGCCTCTACTAACACCTCCTGAAACATAGAGGAACATGTCTATCTGTGATAAATGGAGCCTCTACTAACACTTCCTGAAACATAGAGGAACATGTCTATCTGTGTTAAATGGAGCCTCTACTAACACTTCCTGAAACATAGAAGAACATGTCTATCTGTGATAAATGGAGCCTCTACTTACACTTCCTGAAACATAGAGGAACATGTCTATCTGTGATAAATGGAGCCTCTACTAACACCTCCTGAAACATAGAGGAACATGTCTATCTGTGATAAATGGAGCCTCTACTAACACCTCCTGAAACATAGAGGAACATGTCTATCTGTGATAAATGGAGCCTCTACTAACACTTCCTGAAACATAGAGGAACATGTCTATCTGTGATAAATGGAGCCTCTACTAACACTTCCTGAAACATAGAAGAACATGTCTATCTGTGATAAATGGAGCCTCTACTAACACTTCCTGAAACATAGAGGAACATGTCTATCTGTGATAAATGGAGCCTCTACTAACACTTCCTGAAACATAGAGGAACAGGTCTATCTGTGATAAATGGAGCCTCTACTAACACCTCCTGAAACATAGAGGAACATGTCTATCTGTGATAAATGGAGCCTCTACTAACACCTCCTGAAACATAGAGGAACATGTCTATCTGTGATAAATGGAACCTCTACTAACACCTGAAACATAGAGGAACATGTCTATCTGTGTTAAATGGAGCCTCTACTAACACCTGAAACATAGAGGAACATGTCTATCTGTGTTAAATGGAGCCTCTACTAACACTTCCTGAAACATAGAGGAACACGTCTATTCGCTTAAATGGAGCCTCTACTAACACCTCCTGAAACATAGAGGAACATGTCTATGTTAAATGGATCCTCTACTTACACTTCCTGAAACATAGAGGAACATGTCTATCTGTGTTACATGGAACATCTACTAACACCTGAAACATAGAGGAACATGTCTATCTGTGATAAATAGAGCCTCTACTAACACCTCCTGAAACATAGAGGAACATGTCTATCTGTGTTACATGGAACATCTACTAACACCTGAAACATAGAGGAACATGTCTATCTGTGATAAATAGAGCCTCTACTAACACCTCCTGAAACATAGAGGAACATGTCTATCTGTGATAAATGGAGCCTCTACTAACACTTCCTGAAACATAGAAGAACATGTCTATTTTGTTATATGGAGCCTCTACTAACACCTCCTGAAACATAGAGGAACATGTCTATCTGTGATAAATGGAGCCTCTACTAACACTTCCTGAAACATAGAGGAACATGTCTATGTTAAAGGCCCAACTGGACTATAAAAGCCAGCAGATGGCGCTAGGGCAGGTTTCTTATTAATTTTTTGCATGCTTCACTTCAGGGACCCTTTTTCAAAGATTTAAGATTAATTACCAAATGCATTAAAACAACACTTGGCATGTTTGTAGGCATAGATATTTTTGATAAAGATTGACCAAAATTATTCAAAATATAACTTTGTTAAGTGTATTTCTGGAAAAAAATACTGGCTGTCAAATTTGAAATTTGAATTTCCCTGGGAGGAGCCATGTGATCATTACAGGTCATGAACCTTCAGTAGTAAACAGAAGCACGTGGCTGTGTTTATTTCAGGGAGAGAGATTTGTAGCAGACGATGTATATTTCAGGGAGGGAGATTTTCAACAGACGACAGACACATTGGAATGCTGAATAAAACAATAACTTTTACTGACTTGCTTTATCAAATCCAACAAATTTACATTAATCCATTAATCTATGGATTTTTTTTAAATTTCAAAGTACTGATTTAACTTGTATTTGAATGGTTTAAACTTCATGAAAACAGTAAAAGTAACTTCCAGGTATATTTCATTTACACTATATTTTGTTGTAAATATCTTTTAGTCAAAAATTACATTTCACAAATGTTAATCAAACTAAATGTTGCATATGCATAAAATTTTTATACATTAACAGTTTAAAAATATTTTAAATTCCTGTCAAGAACATTTTTAGCAGGTTGTTCCTAAAAGAAATGCCCCATGTATTAGGCACATCTTTTGTATTTTGATATAAGTGTCTGACTTGATGAAGGACACATACAGCATTCCAGTGAAAAAAAAGAAAAACAACTGACTTCAAAAGTAATATCTGGACAAGATGACTTGATAATGTCTTTAATTAATCTTTGAGTTATATAAAACATCCATTAAACCTCTCCTGTGTAAAATCAGCTGTTTTTGTTTACATTCTCTCTGCAGGTTAACACTGCATGCTATTTATAGTTCAGGGTTTATAACAGACAGTTTTACATCACTGATTAGTCACACCCACAAATACTCGCTGCCGCGGCAGCGAATGTTGCCCCTTTAAATGGAGCCTCTACTAACACTTCCTGAAGCATAGAGGAACATGTCTATCTGTGTTAAATGGAGCCTCTACTAACACTTCCTGAAACATAGAGGAACACGTCTATTCGCTTAAATGGAGCCTCTACTAACACTTCCTGAAACATAGAGGAACATGTCTATCTGTGATAAATAGAGCCTCTACTAACACTTCCTGAAACATAGAGGAACATGTCTATCTGTGATAAATGGAGCCTCTACTAACACTTCCTGAAACATAGAAGAACATGTCTATCTGTGATAAATGGAGCCTCTACTAACACCTCCTGAAACATAGAGGAACATGTCTATCTGTGATAAATGGAGCCTCTACTAACACCTCCTGAAACATAGAGGAACATGTCTATCTGTGATAAATGGAACCTCTACTAACACCTGAAACATAGAGGAACATGTCTATCTGTGATAAATGGAGCCTCTACTAACACCTGAAACATAGAGGAACATGTCTATCTGTGTTAAATGGAGCCTCTACTAACACTTCCTGAAACATAGAGGAACACGTCTATTCGCTTAAATGGAGCCTCTACTAACACCTCCTGAAACATAGAGGAACATGTCTATGTTAAATGGATCCTCTACTTACACTTCCTGAAACATAGAGGAACATGTCTATCTGTGATAAATGGAGCCTCTACTAACACCTGAAACATAGAGGAACATGTCTATCTGTGTTAAATGGAGCCTCTACTAACACCTCCTGAAACATAGAAGAACATGTCTATCTGTGATAAATGGAGCCTCTACTAACACCTCCTGAAACATAGAGGAACATGTCTATCTGTGATAAATGGAGCCTCTACTAACACCTCCTGAAACATAGAGGAACATGTCTATCTGTGTTAAATGGAGCCTCTACTAACACTTGAAACATAGAGGAACATGTCTATCTGTGTTAAATGGAGCCTCTACTAACACCTCCTGAAACATAGAGGAACATGTCTATCTGTGATAAATAGAGCCTCTTCTAACACCTCCTGAAACATAGAAGAACATGTCTATCTGTGATAAATGGAACCTCTACTAACACAAGGCCGTCGTCGATGGTCCGGCCTTGGCCGGACCAATATTTTGGCCAAAAATGAGTAAAAAAAACAAACAAAAAAAACAACAAAAAATAACAAAATAAAAAAAATCACGCATCGCTGATTAGCAATATGACACGTACCTGGCCCCTTATGCAATACGCGGTAACATACAAACATGACGCGAAGAAACAAATGGACACTGTTAATTGACAAGGTATATGTAGGGGTCCTACGAAGTTAAAAGTGTGAAGTTAATTGACAATTCACCGTATATACATGTATTTATATGTGCATTATGAATATCTTGAACTAGTATGCCTGAATTCTCCGAGAACTTGATAATATTTATTGATTGTACACGGCAACCGTTCAAAGGTCATATTTTTATCACATATTCGTGCCGTTTTTGCGACTCTGTGAAAATGGTATTTCACGGCCGTGCTTAGCGTTTTTCTATGGGCGTCAATGAAAAATTGTTATTTTTCACTTCAAAAGATTTTATTTTTGGTATGTTAAAACAGTATATTGAATTCGTGTAAGTTCATTACTGAATTTATTGAACTCGTTGAATAAAATATTATACTCGCCAGAGGCTCGCATAATATATTTATATTCAAAACAAAACAATCGGTGCTAGAACTGAGGTCGTTGTGTTGTTAAAGAATTTGTTAGTAATGCCTGCTGCTAATGTTACCAGTGAAAGGACATTCTCGGAGCCCAGAAGAATAAATGTGAAAATACACAGGGAGATAATAATAACGGCGAGTGCATTGTTGTAGAATAATGCGCGCTTCGGGCCTTCTTTGTTTATATAGAAAAAATTCCGATAGTGTTAGAATGTTTATTTTTCATTCGCCAAATATCAATTACATGTATTCATCTTTTATGTTCACCTGCCCGTCCGTTATGCAAACATTAAATTTCACCCTTAAAACTTACGACGCACTTAAATCTGTAAAATATCGTTGACATTTTACTATAATATGTTCTAGCAACAGACTGTAAAATGTGCCAAATATATGGGAAAACGCCCCTGAGAGCATCCTAGAATAAAAAATTTTCCGGGGGAGCATGCCCCCGTACCCCCCTAGATTCTGGCTAAAATCTACCAAATTGGACGCACCAATCACAAAATCGTGACGACGGGCCTGTAACACCTCCTGAAACATAGAGGAACATGTCTATCTGTGTTAAATGGAGCCTCTACTAACACTTCCTGAAACATAAAGGGACATGTCTATTTTGTTATATGGAGCCTCTACTAACACTTCCTGAAACATAGAGGAACATGGCTTTCTGTGTTAAATGGAGCCTCTACTAACACCTCCTGAAACATAGAGGAACATGTCTATCTGTGATAAATAGAGCCTCTTCTAACACCTCCTGAAACATAGAAGAACATGTCTATCTGTGATAAATGGAACCTCTACTAACACCTCCTGAAACATAGAGGAACATGTCTATCTGTGATAAATAGAGCCTCTACTAACACCTCCTGAAACATAGAAGAACATGTCTATCTGTGTTAAATGGAACCTCTACTAACACTTCCTGAAACATAGAGGAACATGTCTATCTGTGTTAAATGGAGCCTCTACTCACACTTTCTGAAACATAGAGGAACATGTCTATCTGTGTTTAATGGAACCTCTTCTAACACTTGCTGAAACATCTGTGTTAAATAGAGCCTCTACTAACACTTCCTGAAACATAGAGGAACATGTCTATCTGTGTTAAATGGAACCTCTACTTTAACATTTGAAGCACAAAGAACCATGTGATACACTGGACGTCTACTAAAACCTGAAACATAGACAATAAATGAAGAAATTAACAGATAAAAAAACCTTGTTCTCTTATTTCCATTTAGTGGAAAACATACACAATAATTGTTGCAAAGAAAATTATGAGACAGATAGACAATGCAAAAATTTCACTTCTGTTAAGCTGGCAATATCAACCTTTAAAGGATTTACCTTGTCAAAATCTGGCTGGTTGTAAGTTAGACCTGATTTTCTTGTCACTGTCACATTATTCCTCTCTTCCTCTGGTATATAAAACTGTAATATATCTAGTAATCTCTTTACTCTAGATCCGGATAAATCATTACATGTTAGATGCCCTGAAATATTCATAAAGGTACAGACAACAAAGTACAATGTACAGTTTATTTGGAGCCGACATGGTTGATAAAGTACAGTTCATATGATAAGTCATTTGAAATATAGATTCAAGTCAACTAATTACATTGTACAATGTACAGAACAGCAAACTTAGTCTTTGGTGATACTTTAACCCTTACCACCCTAAATATATTAAATGGACTTCTCCATCTTTTAATCTGGACATAAACATTTATTGTTTCAGGGAAAATTCAAAATTATGATAGATAAGTGTCTGTAAAGTGGTGAAAAACATTTACATTTACCTGCAAGTTCAGTCTGTAAAATTGTTAATGATTTTCCACCTGGGGCTGCACAAAGGTCAAGAACATTGTCACCTTTCTCAAGGTCAAGGGCAATTACAGGAAGAATTGAGGCTGCATCCATCATAAAGTAACCTGAAAGGAAAATTTCGTATACAACCCATAATTTGCAGTCTGACCAGGCTCTATAGGCTGTTGTTTAATCTTTTCTGTTTTGATATTGAAATCCCTTAAACTAGAATGGATTGTTGACAGTTCCAAATTCCAAAAAGCGCAAATCCATTACACAAATTTAGCAGGTTGATGGAAAAATGTTACATTTTTGTACAGAATCTATACCTATACATTGTATACCTATAAAATAAAATATTATAACACAAATTTAGACTAAACGCAAGTTCACAAAAAGATTCTTACATAAGTGACCATCTGGTTTATCTATTTTAACATCTGGAAACTCTGTAATATCACCACTTGGAAATCCTATCACCTGTAGAACTTCTGGTAAATTTATCATTCTTGGTTTTACAATGTCAACTTTAACATCAGATGGGGTATATACACTCCTTTTAGCTTCTTCGATTCTTAAATTTACAGTTTCTGAATACACTGTTTCAACTGGCATAAAATTATGCAAATCAGTTCTATCAAAATCAAGTCCAGTAATTTTCATATCAGCAACCTTATTTAATTCAATAAACTGCTCATCTGGTTCATTTAACACTTCTTGAACTCTATCATTATCAAGGGATGTATCAGACTCTTCTGTTTTTTCAAATCTTAACTCACTATTCTCAATTTTCTTTCCGGCAATTTTATCTCCTATACTTAATTCATTGCCAGGCATGTTTTCTAGTTCTGAAGTACAATCATCATTTACATTAGCATTGTCTTCTGACACATTTTCAAGCTGCCTTGCCTTGGCCCTCTCTACTATATCATATGCCCCTTTATGTTTAAAATCATCAATGTATTTACTATTTTCTGCAAAATTATTCATAACTGCACATGTTTTCTTAGCTGTTAGCAATGAAATTCTTATAGAAGGCCATTTATCCTTGTAGAATGGTTTATAGTGTAGATCAAAATGTTCCAATGCTCTATCTGAATTGGTGAACTTTTTCGGACCTTTCTTCTGAAAAGACATTTTCAATTAATGTAAAAATTTGATTATTTCAAATTACATTACAATCAAAACTATTCACACATACATGTACAAGCCGTGTAATAAGGTGTTGCAGTCTAGAACAGATCACTGATAGGCGAAAATTTTGCGGGGAAAATTTTGCAAGTGGCCAAATTGATCAGTTGGTATATTTTTAAATTTGCAGATATTTGAAGTGTCATTCTGTTGTCACAGATTTGAGTCCTGGTCAAGCTGCACATTTTTCGCAACATGGCACCCTGATGGTATATAGCTCCAAGTCAATTAACCTTGTTCTCTGTACCTAGCAAAAATGTGGGGACTAATTTCAATATCTTTACCAAGGGATTATGTCACACTGAGTCTAGAACAAATGATTGAAAGGGAGACAGTTTGTGTTTTAAAATGGCAAAGTGGTATTCCAAGGGTACTGTTCCAGTCAGGTGACACATATTCTTGCCGTTACAGGGGAAGGCCGATCGCTAATGTTGTAAGAACTTGGGGCCCGACCCTTTTGCTATTTGTTATTTTGAAATCAATTTGTTTCTCTGTATATTTACATGTATATGTTTATCATTAGCAATAAAATGTGATTAGAATATTTCTAACCATTAGACAGAGGTTTTATAAAAACAATATTTTGAACAAGGAGATATTTTTGTCTACCTAGTGCTTGATTATGTAAGATAGGTTGTCAGTTTTTGACAGTTTAAAGTCAGTTTTCTAATGAAAACAGCTTTGCATACAAATCTGGCATCAAAGAGAATAAGCAGAATATGATCTTCCAATAAATCTGATCAAAGTCTTACACATACAAGTAGCTCAGGCAGTAGAACTACAGAATGGTATACCAAAGGCCCAGTATTTGAGTCCCTGGTAAGACTCAATTATTAACTTTAAATATTAAATTATTTTGAGGGAGGATGATTCCCAATGGTCAAATAATTACTGTTTTACGTCTGTATGTCAAATGGCAAGCTTACAATGGCTCCAAGACTTTCAACCATTTAATTCTGCTCAAACGCCTTTAAAAACTATGTCACTGTGACACAATGACATTTACATAATACATGTACTTCATTAGCATGTTTTATTGCCATGTTTTCACTAATGCATCAGTCATTCAAAATTTTGTAATCCAGGCATCTCAACCAATGATGAGTGCATGGGACATCAGGAAGACTTTTTGTAGTGCTTTTACCTCCTGTTATGCTTTGTGAAGCAAATGCTGAAATTTTGTAAGCATGGCAAAATGGGATACATATAGCTTATCTCACAGTAAAAGACTGAAATACCATTTGATTGTCCCCTTACAAGTGATTATACCAAATATTTGCTGGTCTCAAAGTTAAGTCCTTACAGTCTCCGTAGAGTATGGGCTATGTAAAAATTGACTAATGTCACATTCGCTGCCTGATGGGACTGGAACCTAGGACCCTAGGAATACCATTTTGTGACTCTACCGTCTGAGCTTTCAGGCTAAATACAGTCATATTCTCCTCTAATAGTAGACAAATATTTATATACATATCATAAGGTTATGACTAAAATCTCATTTTAAGGTCACCATCAAGCAGTATATACCATCTAAACACTGTGTGGGCCCCCTGTGCTTCTGTGCATTATTTCAGGCACCCGAGTAGAACCACCGACGTTCCGTAAGCTAGCTGGATAGCTTCCTCACATGAAAGAATCCAAAGTCCCTGTCGGGATTCGAACCCACAGGGGTGAGGGGCAAGTGATTTGAAGTCAACGACCTTAACCACTTGGCCACGGACGCCCCTAAACCTGATGAAAAAATTAACTGAATTATATTACATATTGATATATTGTATATCCTCTAAAAAAATGTATTGTAAACTCATTCTTACTCTTGCATTTCAATTTCTAATAAACATACTTCGTTTCAGGAATCAGACACGATTATAAAAAGATTTTGTTTCTTAGAAAAGTAATGTAGTGGTACGAATAAAATCGAGTACAAATTAAAATTCTGATAAAATTTTAGTTTACACATATAGTAAACACACCTGATCGTGTTTCATTTTAAAACCACGAAAGAAATATCTTTTAACTTTGGTGTTATCATTAAATCGCCACAAAACTTTTGACAAGTTTCCCAGCATCGCTAAACTAGTATTTTGCTCAGTAAGCACAATAAGATCACTCTTAAAAGCGTCAAGAGTCATATTAATTAGCGGCAAGAAATGTAATAGCACGGATTTCTCGGGATTGCATCAGGAAGCACTGTTTAACTATACCCCAACCATGATATCTTAAAGTATATGACTTACAAATAACATTAGTACAACGTGAGATCGGATTAGAATTGTCACAGGGTAGAATAATAACCAACTGTCAAATTTAATGAACTTTATATGAAGAAAAAAACATATGGAGCTAAATATAGATCTATCTGAGAAAAAGCCTAAACACTTAATACATTATTATAATACAAGTTAATTAAAAATACAAAATACATAGAATACCACACTTGAGCAATGAAATAAGAATTATTATAAGTAAATGAATGGAAAGAATCTTACCACGTACAGCGTCTCAATAAAAGAATGAAAATAACATAATAATAATTAAAGTTATATCTCCAAACTGAAAATTATATCAAGAAAACTTATAGAATAAAATTAATGTAAGTAGAATTAATTGTATCGATATATCTATACTCGTAAGAGAATTAAGACAAAGTGATCTGGAGAAGGAAAATTCGAGATAATTAAAATTTGGAAGAAAGGAAATGTTAATTAAAACCAATGTAAAACTTTTTCTCAAATCCCTTTCATACAACGAACAACAGGATTGGATAAACAAAAACAGTCCACAAAATTTCACGAGATATGGACATAGTTGTATTGTCTCGGACGTTTCCGTGAATGTCCGCTAATAAGCGTACGTTACAGAACCATCCGATACAATACAATAACAGAATAACAGACGACTAACAGACGCCTCGGAAACATACGACAATCGACGTAGCTCTTAAAGTATACTTTTCCAACGACTAATTGAAGAACATTGCACAGCAAAATGAACAAGTAACATAACAAATAAATCGAACCGTGACACAGAGCCATATTGCTTGCTGCATAAAATCATAAATTTTGTTTGGGTCTTTAATTACATATACCTACAGATAGATCATACTGTTTTAAAAGTGTTAGGCGTATTGTCTGGGAATAGCTCTTAACAAATAAGTGAAATGCAAATTTATAGGTTTAGGATAAAAGCAAGTTAAAAGAATACTACAAGATTGAGATAAAAAAGGTAAAAACAAAACTGACTTAAAACGGGTAGAAAGTATGAGATAACTATATTGGGATTATCTTGTAAGGAAACGTGAAGACCATGCATTCTACAGACGAATACTTCTGGAAAAAATAAATAGGAATGATGCTGTGTCTATGAGTATTTTATCAGGAAGTTCAGGTTTCTAGTTGGTGACAGATGGTGATGGTCGATCCTTATAAAATTGTGTTGGATTTTGTAGAGAAGGGTGTTGCGCTTCTGCTCTAGAGTTTGCCAATTAAGATCTTTTAACATTAGAGATCAACAAATGGTGTTATTATAGTCATTATGTTCAAATCTGGCAGCTGACCTTTGAACTTGTTCTTATTTGTAAACCAGATATGTTTGCCAAGACTTACTGTAGTATGCCAAACCTTTGAACAGAGCTCTACAGTAGTATTCTGACTGGGGCCTTACATAACTTATATAGGCAGTTTCGTTCACCATTTTGTTGGAAGTTTTGACTTTTTTTTTTAATCTGAGTGAGTTATTTGCTTGCGCTGTTATATCATTTATATCATTGGTCCAAGATAAATCTTTACTTATGGTTACACCTACATATTTTGCAGCCTCAGTGGATTTTTAACCACTGCACGAAAAAAAAACACAACAACAACAACAGCAGCACAGGAATACGCTTAAAAATGTCTTTACAATCTATATGCCTAAAAAATATCTAAATCTTTGCAAAAACTCATTAACTATAAAATCCTTTACAGTTGTATTTTATACACATCCTATTAAAGTTTAGCATTACGTTATTTTTATATGTTAAATAGTATTTTATAATTTTATGATAATTCAGGTCAACTGGTCCACAGAGGTGTTAAAATATGATGTGGATACGATTATCGAAAAATAGTTATATAGTCTAATGAAATGTGTGATCTTTTATGTTCTTTGGGTTCGTATTAAATTTGACAAGATGGCGTCGACCGAAAATTCTACGCCGGAAAATGAGACAAAAACATACTCTGGAATCCCTAAAGCAGATTTTCTGGTATAATTCTATCAATCATAGATATGAATGATGCTTTGTTAATGAAACTCTTAATTTTTAGTTACTGTATTACAGTACTTTATGAAATATAAATGTACGAAAATTTCATGGCAACAGTTCAAGATTTGACATGACAAACACGTGTTTGTAAACAAATAGAAGTGAATTCATGTCATGCGTCAAATTGCTTTTCAATGTGCTCATTTAAAGCCACTCTTGTACCCTTCGAAAGTTTTTTTTTTCAATTTATATTTATGATAACTTCTATTATCCTCATTCCTCTACACCAATTTTTCCCAAATTATTGTCAGGTCTAGGGGGCATTGTATATTTACACGGTACCACTAAAATACGCAACGGAGATTTTTTGGCGCAACGGACGCAACGGGCGCAACGGAGATATTTTTTTAAGAAAAACCGGCACAACGCCTTTTTTTAAAGTCAATGTGCTATATTTAAGCATCTAAAATGATTGTTTAGCACTATTAAGTAAGTATGTTTTAAAATGTTTCATAAATTGTATATGTTTAATTGCACTGAAGGGTTATATTGCCTGGCGAAATGGAAATTTCATGGCGCAACGGAGATAATTTTGGAAAATCGGCACAACGTATGTTACTAATATATGAAATTAATTAACACCAATGTTATTTGAATCAATAAATAAAAAAAAATTAAAAACCTTAATCGTATAAGCTGCAATGTTGATGTTGTAAAGGATTGTGTGCCGGCGAAATGGTCATTTTGTCTGCGCAACGGAGATTTTTTATTTATTTTTTTTTTTTGGCGCAACAGAATTTAAAATGGCCTAATTTAAGTAGTAATATGACGAAGTTAATCATTAAAGATATTTAACTGAATTACTGAAGTGGTGTAATAAAAGTCTGTTTATTAATTTAAAAATGGAAAATTAAATACGTTTTTTATCGTTATGGCTGACACTGGAAGACAAGTATGGATTTTACAATCTGTTTCATTTTTCCCGTTCAATTCGTTATTTTTACAAAAAGTACTGTAATAAGCTTTTCTATACATAATTTTTAATTGAATTTGCATTAGTATATACTAAATAAACTCATATTGTTGATATTACAGAATCAATGTCAGTATTTTTTTTTATATAACATTCATTGAATTTTTTGTTATATCCTTTCATAAACTGCCGTTGCGCCCGATTGATTTATTGCGAAACGGAGATTTTATTTTCAAAACTGTACTGTTTTTTTATGTCTAAAACATAAAATAATCATATAAGTTGGTATTGTTGATATTTTATACATATTTTTACATATACTGTTATAAGTTTGATTTTATTAGGTAGAATACTGAATATATATCAGATTCTAAATGGACGGCGAAATTGGACATAATTTCGGCGCAACGGGGAAATGAAGATTTTCATAACGGGTAGATCTTATGTATGAACAATAACTTAAGAATTTGAGAATAATAAGTGGGCAGTCTTTTTTTTAAAAATGATTTACTTTCCTTTATTTTAGAAAATGTTG